TCAAAAACCCTTTTTTTTCTGAAAAATCCTTCTGCCATGTTTTTTGCTGATTTTAACACAAGTGTACTTGGTATTATTCATCGACTTTTTTTTGAAAAGTGTGACGACTGATCCGAAACTTCCGGGGGTCTTATGGGTGTATTTTAAGATTGAATTTTCAATTTAGGCAATTTAAAAACCTCCCCAAAGCCCTATTTCCTTTCCTTGGGCAGTAGCTAGGAATGATTTTTAACCTCTTGACCTGATTTTCTTGGGGGCATTCTGAGCATTTTGTAATGCATTTTTTTTATTTCCATCCATGATACTTGGTAGAAAACTTGATTTTAGGGGGGGTTTCTTCTTTGAGTTTTTCCAAAAAAGTCCGTTTAGATGCCCGTTTTTACTCTCAGTTGCAGCAGCAGTGGGTCAGCAGCACTATAGCTGTCATAACCCTCTTTTTGTTTTTGACCTTTCTCCCTTGTCCGGACTCCAAATCGAGTAAACAGTTTTTTGAACTTGAATCTTTTTTTGCTGTCTTTCCAAAGGTGTGCTCGGTTGCACCCAGATCTTCCTAGATAATTACCAATTTACCCTTTTTGCTTTGTATATCCGTGTTTCGTTGTTTTGTCATTTCTCCTTCGTCTGGACTCCGAATCATGCGATTCTTGAGTCCATCTTGATTAATCTTTCATTTTCTTTCCATTGGTGTGCTCGGTAGCACCCAAATCTATATTTTCATAAATGACCATTTTGCCCTTGGGACTATTTTTGTTGGGTTTTCTTATAATTCGCTTCCGCTACTTTCTTTTGAGTTCCATGACTTCAAGGGAAGTCATGGATGTGTCTCGGGAATAATATACATTCTAGGGACGTCATTTCCATATAAAATGACTATTTTGCCCCTAGGGGCTTATTTGTCATATTTTCGATCTTTTACTTCCGCGTCAGTTCTCATTGAGTTTCACGACCTCATGGAAGGTCATCAAAGTGTCTTAGAGGTGTGTTGTGCCTTGGGAGACCGTTATCTTGTTTCTTGCTTCCACATTCTGGATTCCTTATCGGATCTATGTTCGGTTCATCACAAGACGGGCTGACCTAAAAACCAGGGCCGTCACAAATAATAATTTAAATAAATAAATATATAATAAATCATTTTGTTTAAAAACACACGAAAGCCTTCGAATTTAATTTGTGATCAACCATAATCAATACAAAATAAATACAAGTAGCATTGATGCAAATATTGAGAATATAACCCTCTAACTATTAATTACATAATTACCCAAAGTGTCGGTCTAAGGATCTCAAAGTATCCGCCAAACAAATCAAAGTAATTGTTAATTAATAAAAGAGTCTATACTTCTTTCATGCTTAAGAGTTAAATGACATGACAATGATAGGGAGCAATTGCATACGACGGCTCTCACAATATATCTCAACTTAACGCGGATCCAGTTCAAGTCTTAATTAATTATGAGTCCATCCATAATTACCGACTATGAACAATTTATGATTACTATTTATATTCATGTATTGATCGCCATCACATACATATATAAATATTTCTTGTAATGAAGTGGACACTATCAATTCCATAATGAATCGAAACATAATACATTGAATTCACCAATTGTATAAAGCATAAATATTTCAGATACATCAGGAACATATGTCACTTTAATCTAAATAAGAATTCGCTATACCAGAGCATATAAATCCCAACAGTCACTGCCGCCGCCACCGCTGGAAATTGCGTCGATGATCGTCGGATCGTTTTGTGGTGTGGTGTGGTGTGGTGTGTCGTCATCATTGTTGCAAATTGTTGTCACTGCCTCCGCCGCCGCCAGAAATTACGTGGATAATCGTCGAATCGTTCTGTGGTGTGGTGTGGTGATTGTTAGGAAGGTGTTTTGGAACTTTGATGGGGAGAGGGAGTGTGTGATTTGCTCTTAATGATTTTCACGATGAACAAGCTTCCTGGTTTTGCCGATGGCGAGATGAGAATCTCCGACCAACCTGTGATGGCGATAGTGACTTGAACGATAGTGGAAGGGGAGGCGATGGTGATGTGCTGCGGCTGCTGCCTATTTTTTTTAGATAGATGAAAGAGAAAGAGAAATAGTGATTTGGAATATTAGTATTACATAGAGGTATTTCTGTCATTTTAGTTTGTAGAAATTTTGTATTAAATTGAATTGAAAAAAGAGATGGTAAATAAGTCAATTCACATACATGTGTCAGAGTTCAACAAGCAATATGGGGTGTAAGTGAAAGTTAAAACTAAAATTTTCATGTAAGTGAAATTTGATCAAACCAGGGTGTCCATGTAATTTACCCAAAAAGAAAAGGATAATATTCCCAAATTGCCCTCTGAAAGTGAAAGATAGGGTGCTTCGAGAAGAAAATCCAGTGTTACTCGTACCACAGAAGTATGGTCCTTGCGGAATCTCGTCCCTCGATTCGTGTAAGATGATATTTCAATCGATTCTAATCCACCATCATTGTCCAAAGTCTCACTTCAGTCCCTCGCTCATCATATTCGATGGCTTCAGCGAATTCGTGCAGGTAATTGATTTTTATGCGTTGTATTTATACATTCCTGTGTGTGTATATCGAGGCATATTCTTGTCGGAATTTTTGAGTGACGTTTGGTTAGGGTTAGGGACCAAAATTGGAAGTTCATAGACAGATGACAATGTATCATACAGAGATGAAACATAAACAAGCACGCGTATATATATGTCTGTGTATATTTAGTTTCCTTAGTGTTATTTGCAATTTGGGAAGAAATAAAACATATTGTATTAGTTTGTAGGGCCTGTCATCGCTCTCTCTGAGGACACACTCTGCTGATATACCACAAAATGCATACAAGAGATTGAAAAGGCCAATCCTTTGGATAAAAGGCAATCATCATTCAGAATAAAGTGCATACATGCCATGTATTTATCTTTGGATATGAGGACATACTCTGATGTACCAATCTTTTGGATATGTACAGAATAAAGTGCATACAAGCCATATTATTTCTATTTTTAACAGAATATATATATATATATAATAGGTTTGTAGTAGTTCATTTTTTGCCCCAATTTAAGTGTACTTAATTTCCTTTTACATATATTTGGTGTGTTGGCCTAATGATAATTGAGGGACTACTATGAGACGAAAGCTTGGTTCGAGCTTCACCCACCTATTAATAAAAGTCATAAAAATATTTTTCATACTGCTTTAGGTCAAATTTGATGAAATTGAAATGTTCTTATATATGAAAAAAAAAAAAAAAAAAAAAAAAAACAAAAAAAAAAAAAAAAAAGAAAAAAAAAGAAGAAATGTTCTTATACTAATTGAATGGAAATGGTAAAATAATGATCTTGCCTTCTCTGTTTATAAGTACTTTTCATTTTCGGTTATACAATTGGGTTATTTATTAGTCCATTAATCGTACTCTGGTGACATTTGATCCTAAAAGTTATTCTCTTTGGAAAAGGGTTTTGTCATAAAAATCCTTTCTATGTAGAAATTCTATATTTGTGAAGCCGTTGCTTTGGTGTTGTTAATATCATTAGTTAATTCATAGCATGTTTCTTCAATTCTTCGTATTCAGTTCTTAATGTTGCCCTTGACACATGGGTACTGCCCTCCTTCGATTGTTCCAACGAAGGTTTAAGGTTACTACCACCTATATGCCCCAGGAAACGACTTTAGTGACTCAACTGTCACCACATATTCATTTGCCCGTTGGTGTCCTCAGCAGTAATTGCTATGTGATTGACCCAATCAATCTTAGATCCTCTTGACATTTATTTTCTGATCAACTTTCTTGTAATACTTTTGTGTCTTTAAAAAATGGAACTATGCTTGCCTACTTTTGTTCTGAGGTGTTTGTTATGTACTTGGCATCTAATCGTAGTCAAACAATAAATTATTATGATCTTGCAGAAGACTTGGATAATAAATTCAGTGTGCAAAGTGTCCTTCACATATGCACTATATTTTTGGCATCTAATCATAGTCCAACAATAAATTTTATGATCTCGCAGAATGACTTGGGTAACAAATTCAGTGGTGCAAAGTGTCTTTTGACATATGCACTAGATTTTTGGCTTCTTGGTCCTTTTGCTTTATAGGGTTGACAATTGTGGTAAACTACGTCTCTTGGTTATGGCCTTATGAAATCATTGTCGCACTAATTGATGATTGGCCTTGTTTACTTTACAAAGCAGGTAACACTCATTGATATCTAGTGCCTTTTCTCTCTTTGAATACCAAATGTCTGTCCACTTAAGTCCAATGCTTGAAACACCTCCATGCCATATCTATGCCACATGAACGTTGGTTTCCTTAAACCACTATGAGATGTTCACAGCAGGAGAAGTAAAAAATTGTAAGGATAACAGTCTAACTTAAAGTACACTGCTCCACAAAATTAAGAGTAGGTTTAGCTCTTTCGTATAATCAAGATGATTCCATATCCCATCACCAAAGAAGATTCAGGATCTTCCCTTGCACATTGATACCCTGACCTAATGGTTAAAATGTCCACAGGGGAACATATGCTTTTCCACTTGGGTTAAGGTCATGATCAAATCTTTCCCTTTTTGAATTTAATCCTGACATTGTGGAGGTCACAGGTAGGTGAACAAGATGTGTAAATCATTCAGTGGAAGTCGCACCCCATTGTGGCTCAACCTCAGCTGAGATTTGAAACCATGCTTTTTCAGGAAAATTATTACTTGTCGAGTTCTGAAGATTTTGGTCCTACATTGTTTAGATACTATACATCATCCACGGGCTATTTTTGGTATTTTTAGTAGTGTTGAACTCATTGAGCTCACTATGTAGAATGATAGATGGCCTTTTACTTTTCATCGACCTTTTATAAGCTTTTTGCTTTTGATATATATATATGTGTGTGTGTGTGTGGTTCTCTGCGATGTCTGTATTCACCTTAAAAGACTAATCAAAGGCAATGCAGAGCGTGCTTACATGCTGAAAATTGTCCTAAATTGATGTTCATGTTTCACAAAAAATATAGAAATTTCATTATAAAACATCTGTTTCAACAAGTGGGAGTTCCAGTAATTGCCAAAATTTTACAGAGTTGAGTGTGCAAAGGATGAAAGACAAGCAGATTGTGAATGCTGAGCAATCTCTAAATTCCAAACTGATCATCAATCTCGTCTGCTTGCCAGGGGAACCACCTCAGCCAAAGGAGTTGAAAGAGGCGTTGGAATTGGGGAGGTTCTGCAGACCGGACATGTCGAGTGCAGCCGCAACCAGGGGTCAACGCATTTGAGGTGGAAGAGGTGGCCGCAATCAGGCAGCAGCCGGAGCATATCGCTGCTCTTGTAATCCGCCAAGCATATGGAACAGCACAAAGCAGTAGAACCCTTGTTCTTGAGCTTGGCTTCTGAGTAAAGCAGCTTTGGGTAATTCAATAGGGTGGCCTCATCTAGCCCCACATGAACAACGCAATCTTGTTGTTCAAGTGGCTCCCTAATAACCCTCCGAGCCATTGGGGCTGTCGCAGGTGAGTGAGCCCGGCTGCAGCAGTATGAAGCCAGGGTGATGGTTGTGATGAGCAAAAGAATTCCGACTGAAACCCCGATGGCATAGCCGAAGCTCCCGATGTCACCGGAACCCAAGATCCCCCCGGTGCCAGTTGTGCTATTCATCATCTTGGGTGATAATGGGAAGAGAACCTATTCTTTCCAAAATGGAGAAGATAGAGGTGGTTTGGTCAGCCATTGGTGAAGCAAAGCCAGTGGTTATTTGGGGGTTAAAGATTTGGAAAGTCAACGGTAAGAGGGAGAGATTGGTTGAGTTTTAATTAAAGCGAGATGCATTTTAACTTAAGAAAAGAGGGTGATGAGATAATGAATGTATGTGAATGAATGAATATATACATAAAAGTTTCTTTTGCGTGTTAGTTTATGAGTTTGTGTCTGCAAGTTCTTGGATGTCAATGGTTTCTCCAATCTATATCCTTGACTTGCACGCTTGTTTCATGTGATTAACGTCTTTCTTTTAACTTAAATTTTCTATCATTTTTATTTCTCTCTCACGCACGTTCTACGCACCACAAAATTAGTTGGTGCCTAGTGCTTCTTTAATAAAGTATATATATCACATTAATTACTCATATGAATTTACTTATATTATATTAGATTTATTAATTATATTTATTCTTCAGCCATAGACCATGGAATAGTTTGTGCTAGTGGCTCCAGCCAGCAGACCTCTGTATAGGTATGCATTGTTGCATATTAAAATTAAAATTTTGAGGGCAACTGTATTTTTGTAGTTGAGAAAGCCATAAATGTAACCACTGATGCAATTGGTCGTTGTAACCAACAAACAATATCAAATTGGAGGGTTGGCTTTGGAGTGGTTACTGATTATTCAAACAGTGTGTCGCTAATAATCCATATCTATTGTTCAGTTGGTGGCTAACTTAGATGGGGAGCGACTGCATAATTTGTATTATCATTGAATTTCATGCAAACTAAATTTGAGATAAGTTAATGATACATTAAAAATAAAAATAAATAATAAAAAAAAAGTGTAATTAACTAATTCTTTGAAGTAACTTATTTCTTCTTCTATTAAAAGGGGATATCCTCAGTGGAGGCAAGGGTGTGTGAGTTTGCTTAACATTTTTTTTTTTTTTTAAAAAAAATGTAATTATATGTTTAATGAAAAATAGAAGCATAAATTATGTTGACCTCCTTGACATTTATCATAATTACAAGAATCTCTCCTATAATTTTCAAACTACTCTTTATCTTTCCCTAAAAAGCAAACCTTCTTAACTAAATGGAGCCCTAATTTGGAAAGTTAAGATTTGATGGGTTTTGAAACTCAAAATGGAATTACTAATGTTTAGAAGCAATGTAATTTAAAATGGTATTGGATTTCATAGGATTTGAAATCCCAAACTATAGTTATCAAATTTCATAAAAATTGGTGAAAGTTGACCTTGTAAAGCGTGTCCTTTCACTCTTTTATTCAGAATGAATCAAATCTCCACAAGTATGATTCAAACCTACAACCAATCAGTTAACGGGAGATTAGATCTCATAGAATTCAATTATTGTTCTCAACCCATGACCAATATAAGCTTGAAGCTTCCTTTGTAACTCTCGGAACTTCTTCGTAGTGGCTCCCTTCCACACCTCAGTTCATAAGGAACCTCAAAGTGGCTCTATTTCATTATATTCTATCCATATCCCAATTCCATTCATTTAATATCCCTTTGGTGTCATTGACATAACAGATGTCGTTTCTAGTCTCTCTCTTTCTATTTCTATATATATACATGGAAAGTTAAAAATTCATCATATAATAATCCAGAAATTACAATAGAAAATAAAAGGGAGGTTTGTGTTGAATTTTAAATCTTTTCAAGTAGGTAATCTAGTATTCTTTTGCATAACGATAATCTATTTGGTGTTTGTGGTTGGACTCTATTATGGATTTCTGACCACATTCTCCATATGGCCCTCATATCTCTTCATTCTACGAGCTCAGGTTATGGAAGAAGGAGAATAAGAAACCGAGAAGAAGGTATTAACAACAATTGATTTTATTACGAGACAGCTCATGATGTTCATATCGATCTATTATGCGCATCTGCATCTACCATTAGGTAAACCTCATAAATAATTTTCCTAACTCTACCGTATCTTTTGTTTCATTTCTTCTGGAACAATCACAAACACTTTTTCTATTATGGATCTACTACCAGAAATCCAATGCGTAATCTCATCATTCAATGTGTATTCATGAATAATCTCATTTTACCAAGTTTAATGTTAGCCAAATTTGTCAATATTTTATATGTTTTGATGCAACAAGAAGATGTTATTTGTAATAAGTAGTTTTGTTGGTGGTTAATTGGTCACATTTTATTCATGAAATGGGTTGGATTGGTGTTAGTCTGGATATGGCAAAATCAATTCTATTAGATCGAATGTGTAACGACCCTCACCCTAGTAAGACATAATATTGTTCGCTTTTGGCTCCCCCGGACCAGAGACTTCTCAGGAGGTCACCCATCCTGGTACTACTCTAAGTTGAGCACGCTTAACTCCGAAATTCTGGTGGGTTCACGGCCATCACAACTTTAAAACATGTTGTGTCATAGAAGGGTGTTGAATCTACATACAGCACTAGCTCCTTCCATACCCAGGCGATGTGAGATTATGCACCTGTAGCTCATCCAGTGTAGTAGCCTACTGGTGCACAATCCTACATCGCCTGGGTGTGGAAAAGGCTAATGCTATATATAAATTCAATACATTTTTATGATACAACAAGTTTTAAAGTCGTGATGGCCGTGAACCCACCAGAATTCCAGAGTTAAGCTTGATTGACCTAGTGTAGTACCAGGATGGGTGACCTCCTGGGAAGTTTCTGGTCCGAGAGAGCCAAAAGTGGACAATATTGTGTCTGGCTAGGGTAAGGGTGTTACAATTGGTATCAGAGCCCGACCCAGCCGGAAATGTAACCAACAGGGACGTTGGGCCCCAAGGGGGTGATTGTGGCGACCTTTTGGGCGGGTGTGTACGAGCATGTGCAAGTGGCACCAGTAGGCTAACACACTAGGTGAGCTACAGGTGAACAATCCCACATGGCCTGGGTATGGATGAGGCAAATACTATATGTAGATTCAATACCCTTCTATAACACAACGCGTTTTAAAGTCGTGATGGCCATGAACCCACTAAAACTTCAGAGTTTAGCGTGCTAAACCTGAAGTAATACCATGATGTGTGACTCCTTGGGAAGTTTCTGGTCCGGTGGAGCCAAAAGCGGACAATATTGTATTTGGCTAGGATGAGGGTCGTTACAGAATGTACTTATTAGATTGAATAAGTACCTTGTTTCAGAATTGAGAAATTTTATGGCTCAGATCTTTAGTATTCTTTTATTTATTACATGTGTCTACTATTTGGGCAGAATACCGTCACCCATTCTTACTAAAAAAATGAAAGAAACCTAAAAAACGGAAGAAATGAGGGAAGTGCGGAAGAAACAAATCTAGAAATAGAAACAGCTTCCGAAACGAAAGGAACTAAATGGGAATAAGAGGAATTCACCGAAGTAGATACTTCTCCTTCCCTTTTTTCGAAAGAAAGGAGGATCCAGACAAAATTGATGAAACTGAAGAGATCTGAGTGAATGGAAAGGAAAAAACATGGTATCAAAATACCCAATTTCTGAGACTTCTTATTTGGATGGGAATCAAGAAAATTCGAAGTTAAAAATACATGAAAATAAAGAAAACTATATAAAAGAAAATAAATAGCTCTTTGTTGATTTATCTTTTTGACTATAACTGATGGAATCGACCATTGCGATATATAATAAACCAACACTTTGAAAAGGCCGCAAGAAATGAAATGTCACAATATTTTTTTTATACATGGCAAAGTGATGGAAAATAAAAATATAGATATCCTATATGTATCCACCCAATTTGTCAACCTTCTGGGAAATGATACCAAAAAAAAAAAAAAAAACAAAGAAGAAGATGATGATGTCCTTGTACACAATAGAAAAACTTCCCTCTTATGACCTATACAATAATTGAATTTATACCAACGAAGAAAAAAGTAAGAACCTAAGCAACGAATTTATAAACAAAATTGAGGCTCTAAACGGAGGTTCCCTTTCTTTGGATATACTTGGAAAAAAAAACTAACTAATTGTAATATGATGAAAGTAAACAAGAATATTTGCCTAAAATGTATGATTCTTTCTTGAACGGATCATCTCGTGGAACAATCAAAAAATGGTTTTCGCCTTCAATCATAAATGAAACTTCCCTAGAAAATTTTGTAGAAAAAAATTGGATAAATAAGATTCACGGTATCCTTTTTACTGATACAGATTATCGAGAATTTGAACAAAAAATAAATACATTTAATAAAAAATAAAAATAAAAAACTTTTATCAATGGACAAAAGAATTGATAGGGCAAAATTTTTGAAATTTTTATGTAATGGAATTATAAATGATCCTAATGAGAAAAAAATATATTGAAATACAATAAATCAGTAAAACAAGTCCCTCGGTGGTCATACAAATTAATCAACAATTTGGAGGAACAACAGGAAAGAGGAAATCAAGAAGATGGGACATTGCAACAACAGATTCGTTCAAGAAAAGCTAAACGTATAGTGATTTTTACTAATAACCAACAAAATATGGATACTGAGACTAATAATTTTAATAAAAAAAAGACGAAGTTGCTTTAATACATCATCGGATTTTTGGCAAAACATAATCAAAGGTTTTATGTGCGCTCAAAGACGTAAAATAGTTATTAAGGAACTGTTTCAAGCAAATGTGCATTCCCCCTTTTTTGGACATAATAGACAAATAGCTCCTTTTATCTTTTGATATCTCCAGACTAATGAAACTAATTTTAAAAAATGGGATGAAAAAAAAAAAAATAAAAAAAAAATAATAATAAAAGAATTCCAAATTTTAGATTATAGAGAAGCATCAATAAAAAAAGAAGGGGAAAAAAAAGAAAAGGAAGCATGGGATACCATTCCACTTGCTCAAGTAATAAGAGGTTCTATGTTAGTAACTCAATGGATTTTTAGAAAATATATTCTATTACCTTCATTGATAATAGCTAAAAATATTGGCCATATGTTATTATTGCAATTTTCCAAGTGGTCTAAGGATTTAAAAGAAGGGGATGGAGAAATGCATGTTAAATGCATCTATAACGGTAAATAAAATTTTCAAAAATTTGGTTACTAGATGATATTCAGATAAAAATCTTATTTCCTTTATGTCTTGGCACAAATCGAAGCTACGACCCTTCCATAAAGATAAAAAGAAAAAAAAACAAAACAAAACAAAAGGTGCAAAAAACCGATTTTTGCTTTTTAACAGTTTGGGGAATGGAAACTAACCTTCCTTTTTTGAACCAATTTTTAAGGAACTCATAAATAAAATTGGACAATTGTAAAAGACGCCCTTTATAGTTCTAATGTTGCATTTGGTGTACAGAAATGAAATGGAATCCAAGTGGAAATGAAATGAAATGGAATTGTCATTCTTATTCTATTCTTTGGTGTAAATATGAAATGTGTAGGAATGGAATGATAATAAACATTCTAGTATTTGGTTGGATCAATTTAAAATTTAGAATGGAATAAATTTCAAATTGAGTTCTACAAAATATCCCTCTTATTAACAAATAAATTAAATTAACAAAATAGCATTCTTTTATAATTTTTAAAAAATAAATAGTGGCTGTGGCGGTGGTGAATGGTGGGTGGAAATGGAAAGCGGTAGTGGTAGTGTTGGAATGTGGCGGTGGTGGCAATGGCGGAAGGCGGCGGCAGCGACGACAGCGATGATGGTGGAAGGCGGCAGTGGTGTTGATGGAAGGCAGTGGTAATGGTGTGGTGGTGGTGGAAGGCAGTGGTAATGGTGTGGTGGTGGTGGAAGGCAGTGGCAGTAGTGAAAGGAGATGGCGGTAGTGGTGCTGAAAGTTTAACAATTAAAATAAAATATTGTAGAATTTAGTTTTTTTGAAATGATTCTTCTCATTTCCAAAATCTCACAAATGGAAATGAAATTTTCCTATTTCATTTATGCTTTATATGCCAATCAGTCTAATTGACCTCCATTAAGGTGTCCGCAAATATCACACTGATGGACCGATTAGACTTTATTACTTTGATTTCCCCTTACATTTGCTGCACATGCTCAATGACACCCCACATTTTTTTTTTTTTCCCCGGTAAAACAGTTATCCAATTTTTCAAAAAAGCCCCTTTAGTCCTTATATTGTATGAAAAGACAGTAATAGCCTCAACTATGTAATAAAATACATAAAATAAATGAATGGCACTTCGATAGAAATGGCTTGACATTTGACAAGATTACTACATGACCTTTGAACTCTACCCCCAATCCAAATGAAATTAAAATAGAATGTGAATGCAATGAATCCTGTTCCCACATGGATGTGAAAATAAAGTCTCTCCCTCATAAGAGTTTTCTCTCCCTCGTGAGAGTTTTCCCTTTCTTGCGAACCCTAGCCGCTGCCGCCATCACCAACATCTCACACATCGGAGGGTTTACTCTTAGGATTGGGTTGTTCCTCACAACGTCGAGGTCTTTGTTTTCTCTATTTGTCAGAGATGGAGTTGATTCCATAGCCGTTTATCTGTGGGTTGGCTTCCCCACTTCCTTTCGTTCACCGTTCTTATGTGTTTTTTGGCCGAAGGGGATCTGGTGAACAGTTTGTGGTCCAATCAAGTGTTTTGACTGCTGGACGGCATATTGGCCCATCCTTGTCGCTTTTTCCCTTTGATTTAGGTATTTTTATAGTTTTATTGGTTGCCTTTTGTGTATTAAATTTCTATATGTGGTGTTTTATTTCTTGGTCTCTGTGTTGGCGAAGGGTCTCTCTGGACACCGGCGTTTCCGATTCTATTGGATCAGCGACGCTTTCTTTGTTTTCTCCGGTATGTGGGTTTCATGGTCAGGTTAGTTCTACCTCTCCTCCGGCCGCCATCACCTATAGGTCATGGCTGGATGTGGCTGTTTCTTGACAACACTCATCCACCTTAAGCTTGTGATGGCAGTGTTGCTGATTCCTCCATTCTAGAGTTTAACAGCCTATATTCTGGTTACTTTTGGCCATGCTGCTTTCACTATTGGGAGCCATCTGAATAATTCCTTCATGGATTTCGTATGGCCATGCTTCTAATTGTAAAGTCCCTTTGCTAGACAATTAATTCATCGTTGCCGTCTTGGTCGCTGGGGCTGGAGTATCGATCTCACGGTGTCCTCCGTTTATGGTGTTTTCTGGTGATGGTGATTTCCTTTGGCGCCATGCTGATGTTGCTCCTTTGGCGTATAGATCACGCTAGGTGTGCAAAAGTGGGTCCGGGAGAAGTTTTTGGTTTTTGTGGGCGGGCATCCTATCCTATGGGTTTGTTTTGTTGGGGCTTAGGTCTAATTGTAAAGTCCCTTTGCTAGACAATTAATTCATCGTTGCCGTCTTGGTTGCTGGGGCTGGAGTATCGATCTCACGGTGTCCTCCGTTTATGGTGTTTTCTGGTGATGGTGATTTCCTTTGGCACCATGCTGATGTTGCTCCTTTGGCGTATAGATCACGCTAGGTGTGCAAAGGTGGGTCCGGGAGAAGTTTTTGGTTTTTGTGGGCGGGCATCCTATCCTATGGGTTTGTTTTGTTGGGGCTTAGGTCCAATATTTGTTCATGCCTTTGAGGGCTTTATGTCTCTATTGGGCCACTCTGTTTTTTCAAGTGTTTGCCTGTGCCAAACTCATCTTCATCTTCATCTTCATCTTCATCTTCCTCTCTTTTTTTTTCTTTTTTTTTTTACTATTGATTCTCTATCAAAAAATTTAGGTCAGATTACTGAACCCTCCACTACCGAGTACTGATTAACACAGATCTAGAGGACTTCATTATAATCTGTCGAGAACAGAGCCAATCTCTGATAAACCCCACCACGTGTACTAAAACCCATTTTCCTCCTCCTCACAACATTCCACTAACCTTCAGCGCACTCTAGCACCACATAGCCCACTGAACTCAACCAAACCTTGGGAGCCACAGAAATGGGCTTCGCCGGAAATTTTCTCAGGTCCACATCCTGTATAGTCCCTAATACAACTAGTGATTTCATCACAAGTATACGTACAGAACATAAATCGATTAAGAATGGAAATTTTGTACACCTTTATCTCACAACACTTTCAAGATGAGCTGTTTTTCTTCAACAAGATAACAATTCAATTTCAAGTAACAATGTAATTGTTATATCAACCAACCTTTTTGAGAAAAGAAATGATTGTATAGAAATAATAAAGCCTTAAATAGATAAAGAAGTGACATATACATCAACATGTGCTTCCCAAAACACTTCAAAAATCAGCTACTTTTTCCCAACTAGAGATATCTATCCCAACATTCACCATGAGGGCCTGTGTTGTGATTATGGGGCCCTGGCTAAACGTACAAGTGGCAATCAATCAGATCATACCATCAACTTCCGGGGAATAAAAAAATATATATATCACATCATATCATCTCCACAACTAACTAGATTCTTGCATAACTTCCTTTTCTGTGGGGGTATAACTGAATATGAATCTCCATAATTAATCTCATGCTTGTTTGTACAAAAGAACATAAGCCTGGTCATGCAACACCTTGCTTGTGCCAATGGCAGTAACAGATGTGTCATCAAACCGTAACCATTGCCCGTTGGAGTAGCGGGCATCAGCAGTATAATGCCCTTTTGAGGCTTCCCTACCATGGTGGGTTATTGTTGAAACAAGCTCGTATCTCCGGCCCTGTAGGAGCCAAGTAGAATTCATTAAAAATTTCATCAAGGAGTTCACAAACTATAACCTAAATCAAACAACCTAGTAGGATGTATAGTAAACGAAAATGAAATTTATTTCAATATACATGCCATTTGAAATGACATTGGTATCAACACATCAATAAAATATTATGGGGAAAATAAGTCAAAAAAACACGCACACACTAAGAGACATCCCGTATACAATTAAAAACCCCAGTGCATCCCCAAAGCCAAGGGGGATTAAGGTTTCCCCATGATTCTCATTAACGACCATACAAATGCTTAAAGTATTTAAGCAATAAGCAAATAAGCAGATGAGGTAACAATTTTTTTTTTTTTTTTTTTTTTTTTTTTGACACACACACAGTAAACAGTATATAAGCTACAATAAGATGATGTTATTAATAATTTTCATATTATATATAATATATGTGATCAACGTGTCTCACCTAGATTAGAAGGGATGTTCTATAAAACAACTATTACATAAGTCATTCTTCATGAGATTGGGCAGCTAAGAAACAACATATGCTTAAAGTCCGTGCGGCGGAACTATGCATGTTGAGATGAATGGGCGGTAAGACAAGAAATGATAGAAGAAGAAAAGAACATGCTTGTTATTTAATTGATGTCCCACCAATTAGAGTAAAATGGGAGGAATTCAATTTAGTTTGGATATGTGCAAAGCCAACAAGAGTGACACGCTCCATATTGAATGCAATACTAGAGGAACGGGAAGACCAAAATTAGCTTGGGTAGTAAGTAACGGAGGATATGATAACATAAATTTTGTCTGAGGTCACAACCTTATGCTTTGTTTGGTAGGAAGGAAGGAATAGGGGTGGAGGGAAGATAGGAAGGAAAGAACAAACTTCTTTCGTTAAGTAGATGAGATAAAGAGAAAAAAGATAATAGGATGGATAAATCATCCTTCCTCCTCACAAATTTTGATCCCTCCAAATATGGACGAAAGCGAATGGGAAGACAAGTGGGGCTATTAAAAAAGTTTTAAATTATAATACTATCTTTCATAAATATTAAAGGTTCAAAGGAGTAGTATAGATAGTGATGGATATAATGGTAAAAACAATTTACAACTCTCTCTTCCCTTCTCTCCTAACAAACAAAGTAAGTTGTCAGCTTCTTCTCTTCTCTTCCATCCAATCAAACAAAAAGAGAGAAGGACACAATCTATTCCCCAGGGATATCTCGTCCATCCCTTTTTCTATCCCTTCCAACCAATTTTCTAACTTCCCACCGAACAAAGCATTAAAGTAACATGGGAAAATAGGATTCATGTAACCCTAGTCTAATAACAAAAACTACCAAAATTTAAGAAAAGAAAGAAACAAAAAACCCTCTGGGTGTAAGTAATTCCCTCCAAACGCATGGCAGACCCCAATGCCACGAGTCAATTTAGTCCAAGAAAAATTCCTATGAGACTGGCTTCAATGGAGGGCCTTCTTCAAAAAATGTATAAATAAGTAACAATAAACTTGCAAATTATTTGTTGTGAAATGAAGTTGATTTAATGGAAATTGTGGTTCATAAAAATCTACAGAAAATTGCATTTTTGCCATGAAGTTTATAGCAAAGGAGATATTTAGTTAAATATAAAATATCATTAAAGAATTTGTGTTCACCAACCAAAAATGAAAAAAAAATAAAATAAAAAAAATATATCACATCACAAAAGATAGAAATAAATAAAAATAAAAAATTGGAGTGTAAAGGAACAATACCTCAATTGATGGAGAAACAAGCAATTCACGACCTAGCTTAAGTTCAAGAGGGAAGTGCACAGGTTTATGTAGTTTGGTGCTTCCATGACTTCCATAGCCAAAGCGCATCAGGTGCAATATCATTATCTTGGGAAGTGACTGTATGTTTACAGCTTTTCTGGCAGTCGCAATGCCAGTCTGAAAACAAATGAAATATATCAATATTTTATCACCCATAAATATCAAAAAGTCATCCCATAACATCATAGAACCGACATCAAATAGGCCACTGAATCAGGGAACTAGACTGTGCTGCAACATATATACTAAAGATATTTAGTATTAGCATTGGTAAACTAGCGCTCATGAACACTTTGACCAAGAAATCTCCAAAAGCACTCCAACAAGAAGAAAAGCATTATTTATAACACTAAGCGTGAAATACTGAAATTGGACATTAGAATGAAAGTGAAACAATCCATAATCACAATCCAATCAAAACAAGTAGCGTATCAAGATCTACTGTTGACATTGATGCAATATCAAATGTGAAACACAATTGAGCAATGTTTAGCCAACATTAACAAGGCAGCGGCAGCAGTATCCACCAAAAGCACATTAAAGGTATGATGGATGAACACTTGTAAGCAAATGGAAGCATTTCCTGGGCGTGCTTGTGCTTGTTCTTGTGCTTGTGCTTGTGCTTGTGCTTGTGCTTGTGAACTATTGTCTTTTAATTTAAGCTTGGGTGACAACTGAGAAGCAGTTTCTTCCCTTTTCCTCAGTCTACAGTCTACACTAAAAGCATTAATAAATCATGTGATTTAAGCAACTTAGGTAACAAATTCTATATAGATATATTTACATGTAAAAGATCATCATTTTAACTACTACTAAAATGATGAACAACCAATCTTGGCTGAAACATGAAGCAACAAATCTAGTGCTGGTCAAAATTTCGGCACCTTTTGGAAACACCACCGGTGAATAGACACTTGCTAGATGTGAATTTGAGAACACGAATGTAATGTTCAAACTTCATTTACTGCCAGAATGTGAACTTAGGAAAAGAAATATAGGACGCAAAAGGTCCCCTTGCATTGTATTAACTGTAAATATTCTTACTGCTTTATTAGGGTGCTCCCTTATTTTATTTTATAATTATTTTTTATTTATTTTCTTTTTTTTTATTTTTTTCAAAAGTAAGATTTCACTATGTTTGGTATAATAGGAGGGAAAAGAAAAGAAAGAATAACAATGGTTATGAGAGAGAGAAAAAAAATGATAATGTTATCCTTTCATCGTGTTTGGTTGATTAATGAGAAAAAAGAAAGGAAACGATAGGCTTAATACTTAACCATGTTTGAGAAAGAAAGGAAGGAAACTATTTTAATGAATTTACTACTACCCTTTCACATTTAAAAGAAAAATGTACAAGGAGTGGTAAGAGAAATATAAAGATTATGCTAAACGTCATTCAAGTCAAACTGACAATTTGAAAACAAAGAAATGGTTAAAGAGAATAAAAACATGTCCGAGGACGCATGGTATTTTTATTTTGTCTTTATAAAAATAAAGGCAAAATCGGTATTAGAAAAGTTTCATTAAACTTCGTAGTATTTCCTTTCATTTCCACCCATTTTTTGGAGGCTAACATAACCTACTTGGCATGCCTACTTTGAATCCCTCCAAATCTCTCGATTTCCTTTTCTTTTCTTTTAAAATTTTATACCAAACACAATATATCATCGCCCTGCATTACCTTACTTTTCTTTTCCTTCCATTTCTCTCCAACCAAACTGGGCCTAAAGGTGCTCAAGAGGGGAGCGCGCCCAAAGGACAAAGCACAATAGACTAAGAGACTACCTATCGCTGCCCACCCAGCTTGGTAACTTTAAAAGCAGTCAGACAGAAAAAGCACAACCACAAATGAACCAGCAAAGTTAGGACCACGTTTGATGGATATGTGCTACATTCTCTTTTCTTTTTCATTGCTAAAGAAGAATTTTCGGGGAATATACTACAGCTTTTGGTCATAATGTTTAACATATCAGTATTCCTCATGAACTATATTACATGGACCCTTCAAAAGTAGTGACGTACCCGTGTCAGACAAATATTGCTCAAACATGGGTATGGAATATGTGTTCGACACTTTTAGTTGGACATGTACTTGAACAGCATATCCAATCATTCAATAATATTGTATTATTACTTTAAAATGAGTGAAAAGCCTACATATCAGTTTTCCTTACGAACTATTTTACATAAAACCTTCAAAAGTAGTGATGTACCCGTGTCGGACAAATATTGCTCAGACATGGGTATGGAATATGTGTTCGACACTTTTGATTGGACATATACTTAAAAAGCATATCCAATCATTCAATAATATTGTATTATTACTTTAAAATGAGTGAAAAGCCTACATTGAACACTATGTTAGATAAAAATATTACTATACTCTAGAAAATAAAACAAACTAATCAAATAAAATGAATATTTAGCAGTGTCCGTGTGTCCATTTGTTCAGAGATTTGAAATGTCCGACGCATGGATACACACACGCACCCGAGTCCACGTAACATAGATTATGAATATCAAACTTCCTTATTATTTTAGCATTAGACATAAACAAAGTTTTCATGAGAGTGTAATACTGGAATGGTTATGAATATCAAACTATAAGATGAACATCAAACATTATTGTAGTTGGTGCAGTGATCGTTCGTTGGCATGCTCCTTTCCTAGACTTTTCCAGATTGCTACGGAAAGGCAGGCTTTGGTGGCCGACTGTTATTGGCTTCATAGCGGGAGGACGACATGGGATGTTCACTTTGTGAGGCATTTTCAGGACTGGGAGGTGAATAATGTTTTTAGGCTCTTGGAGATGTACCGCCAGGAGGTTGTTGGCGGTGCTACTGACACTAGAGTATGAGTGTTATCTTCTCGCGGGGGGTGGAGTGGGAGGGAGGGAGTTGTTGTGCGCTTGTTTTATAGGGCCCTCAGATGGGCCAAGGCTTGTTTTCCCATGGAAAGCCATTTGGTGCACGAAGGCCCCTCTTATGGTGGCTTCCTTTGCTTGAACTGATGTCCTGGGAAGGATTCTGACACTGGACAATCTGAGGAGGAGGAAACAGATTGTTGTTAACTGGTGTTGCATGTGTAAAAGGAATGAAGAGTTGGTTGATCATCTTTTGTTGCATTGCCCTCTGGCTAGGGAAAGCTGGGGGGTGATCTTGGCTTTGTTCGGAGTTCAGTGGGTTATGCCTTGTTCCCCACTCGGTATAATTGAGGCTTGGAGAGGGTGTACAATGGGTCTCCAAGGCAGTGACTTTTGGAGGGTAGTGCCCTTGTGCATCTGATTGTGGAAGGAAAGGAATAGGAGATCCTACGGGTGAGCTGAAATTCTTTTTCACAAGTTCTCTTTTTGTTGGGTTCATGGGACGAATTGTAAATCAATGGGGGAGATAAGTTGATTTTTTTGAACAGTTTGAGAGGAGTTTGAGACATTAGGGGCCCTATTTGGTCCTTGTTTGTTTTTGTGGGCTGCAAGACCCATTTGAACTCTCTTTAATATAATCTTACTTATCAAAAAATAATAATAATTAGTTCGTGCTTTCTGTTGAATCTTTCTCCGTTAGATAATGTTAAGCCATTTTGTCCCCTTGCTTATACAAAGGGAAGATATGCGAATTTCAAGGAGCTCTCTTATGGACAGTTAGCAGATTATATATTTTAGGATGAATATCTATGGAGCCTCTTAAAACTTTTTAAGATTTTAAAGACGCTATTGAAGGTTTTCTGCATAGGTATTCAATTTTCTCCAAGAGAAAATGAAATCCTGATAATTGGGATACGCGACTCATGAGGTGCAGATACATACTTTGTATGAAAAATTACAATGACCTTCCATTATAAATTCCAATAGATGGCAGTAACGGAACTTGTAATTTAATATTTTGCCCTTAATTTTACTTTTCAATAAAAATAAAAAAAATTAAATGGAATTGATATTACATGGGCAAAATTGAAATTTTGAAATTCTATATTGTTGACTTAAGCAAAAATCATCATTGGCATGCATTGACCAGAGGGATCCTATTAAAAAACTATATACAACAGTGCAAATTTTCAAACAAGAAGGGATATTCATGTGATCATGACAAATCTCGTGGGAAGTCACTGTAATCTACCATTTCAAAACATTAAAAATAAAATACCTTTCCAATAGCTGATGTACGGTATTCCTCAAGTGTTTCTGGTGCAGAAAATAAACGAAGAGCATCTTCAATAGTATGAACACCTTCATTAGAAATATCAAGATGGAGCAGCAAAAATGGTTGAACAGTAGCTGAAGCTTTATTTCCTGTTGCAATACAGGCATACAGTGGCATAAAGCTCAATATGTTACAACAGCAGCATATTGCTTCTGAAAAGATTTTAGCAGAAAATAAACACGTCAACAAGAATCTATGATGTTTGGCTAGCTGGCTCCAAGAGTATGATCTTAAAATTTTTTTTTTTTTGATAAATAAAAGAATATTATTAAAAGACGCTCAAGAGGGGAGCGAAACCCAAGGAAAAACAAAAGAGCACAAAGGACTCAAGCCTTCATAGAGGTCAAAAAATCAACAATTTCCCTCAACGATCTATGATCTCTCCCTGAAACCCAACAAAAAAGAGTTGAAATAATCGAGAATTTAAGCACCGACATCGACATCGCCTTTCCTTCAAAGTATCTCCTATTCCTTTCAAGCCAAATACACCACCACACACAAAGCGGCGTAGCTCTCCACGCATCCTGCCTGAGAGCCCCCACATGGCAACCTCTCCACATCTCAATCAACTCTCTAGTAGATCCAGGCATAACCCCATAAAACCCAAATAAGCCAAGCATCAAATCCCAACACTCTCTAGCCAAAGAGCAATGAATAAGAAGGTGATCCATAGATTCCTCATCACGAAGACACATATAACAACGATTGACCACCACCTGGCTTCTCCTTCTCAAATTATCCTGGGTTAAGATCCTACCCAGAATCGAAATCCACACAAAGAAAGCCACTTTGAGAGGAGCCTTAGAACGCCTAACAGACTTCCAAGGAAAACGAACTCCAGGATCAAAAGAGAGGCACTTGAAGAAAGACCTCACCTCAAAACGCCCCTTGGAGTTTGCGACCCAATACCAACAATCCGAATCCTTCACCACAATCCTTTGGCGATATAACAACTCCAAGAGACGAATTGCCTCATCAATCTCCCAATCCTGAAAGGCACGCCTGAATCGAACATCACAAACCAGTCTCCCATTATCAAGATGATAACAGTTAACCACCAAGGCTTGCCTATCCGAAGCAATTCTGTAAAGCTGAGGAAAGGCAAGAGCAAGAGGAGCATCACCACACCACACATCCTCCCAAAAACAAATCCTCCTCCCATCTCTAAGACGAAACCGAATGTGCTTGGAAAAATCATCCCAACCCTTCCGAATAAATTTCCAAACTCCCACCCCCCGAGAATTTCTAACTTCCAAAGAGCTCCACCCTCCTCTCATTTCTCCAAAACGACAAGCCACAACCCTCCTCCAAAGCCAATGTCTCTCCACACCAAACCTCCACAACCATTTTCCAAGAAGGGCCTTATTAAAGGGCACCAATCTACGAAGACCCAGCCCAGCATTCCGAATAGGCCTGCATACCTGATCCCATCTCACCAAATGGAACTTAAACCCTTCAACCCCCCCCCCCCCCCCCCCCCAAACAAAAAATTACGCTGCAACCTCTCAATCCTCTCCGCAACTGAAGATGGAATCTGAAAGAGAGATAAAATAAGTGGGAAGGCTAGAGAGGGTACTCTTAATCAGAGTGACCCTACCGCCCCGGGAAAGATACTGCTTCTTCCAACCTGCCAACCTTCTCTCAAATCTATCCACAGCTGGATCCCAAATCCCCACACACCTCGAAGGAGCTCCCTGAGGCAAACCTAAGTAAGAAATGGGAAAAGCACCAGTGCGACATCCAAGGATGTCAGCAAAAGTCTCAATCTCAGGAACCTCCCCAACCGGCACCAAAACGCTCTTGCCCACATTCACCTTAAGGCCGGAGACGACTTGGAACCAAATCAAGACACATCTCAGATATCTAATCTGGGACACATTCGCATCACAAAGAACCAGAGTGTCATCAGCAAACATCAAATGAGAGATCTCCAACTGAGAAGCAGCATCCCTGCCTACCCGAAAGCCTCTCACAAGACCGAAATCAGCAGCCCTTCGCATCAATCTACTAAGGGCCTCCATTACAAGCAAGAACAAGAAGGGGGAGAGAGGATCCCCCTGTCTCAAGCCCCTTGAGCTAGAGAAAAAACCGGTAGGAGCACCATTAACAAGGACTGAAAAGCGAGCACTGGAAATACAAAACTGAATCCATCTCCTCCACCTAACACCGAACCCCATCCTCTCCATCAAGTACAGAAGAAAGTTCCAACTCACATGGTCATACGCTTTCTCAATGTCCAACTTACAAAGAACACCCGGGACCCCACTACGCAATCTGTGGTCCACACACTCACTAGCAATAAGGACTGAATCCAAAATCTGACGGCCTCCTACAAAAGCATTTTGAGAGTCCGAAATGATACCATCCAAAACTTTCCTCAATCTAGAAGTGAGCACTTTGGCAATCAACTTGTAGATACAACCCACCAAACTAATAGGGCGAAAATCCCTCACATCCAATGCCCCCCCCTTTTTCGGAATGAGAGCAATGAACGTGGCATTCAAGCTTTTCTCAAAAAATCCCCGAGAATGGAAAGCATGGAAAGTGCCCATCACCTCTCCTTTAACCACCTCCCAGCAATCAAGAAGAAACCTCATGGTGAAACCATCTCGACCTGGGGCCTTATCCCCATTGCAGCTCTTCAAAGCAATCAGCACTTCCTCCTCAGAAAAAGGCACCTCCAAACCCAAGCACTCCTCCTCAGAAATAGAGGCAAACTGCAACCCTTCAAGCAAAGGTCTCCACTCAACAGTTTCAAAGAACAACTTCTCAAAGAACTCTAAAATTCCTTTGCAGATGTCCTCCTCCTTACAAAGAGTAACCCCCTCAACCCGAATCCTCCCTATGTGATTTCCTCTTTTCCTCTTCTATGAGCATTGGCCAATTTGTGGAAGAATTTCGTGTTTCTATCCCCCTCCTTGAGCCATAAGGCTCGAGATTTTTGCCTCCACGAGATCTCCTCCATAATAGCAATCTCAGAAAACTTGGCCTTGCACTCTGCCCTCCTAAGCTTCAAAGCTTCCACCAAATCCCCTTGACCCTCCATACGGTCAATAGCCGCAATCTGCGAAAGAACCCGATTTTTTCTCCATTCCAGATTCCCAAAGACCTCTTTATTCCAAGTCTTAAAATTCTCCTTTAAAAGACGCAATTTGCCTGCAAGCAGATGACTAGGGGTACCCACCGCACCATACCCCTCCCACCAAAGACGAACCCACTCAAGAAAGCCCTCAGCCCGCAACCACATATTCTCAAATCTGAAAGGAGATCGTCTACTGCACAACCCGCCACAATCCAACAACAACGGAACATGGTCAGAGATAGGACGAGGCAACGATGCTTGAACAACTTCCGAGAACCTCTCCTCCCACTCCCCCGACACAAGGAATCTGTCAATCCGGGAAAGGGTAGGAGGGGAACGGCCACTGGACCAAGTAAACGGCCCTCCAACCAAAGGCAAATCAACCAACCCGAATTCATCAATAAACTCCGAGAAAGCCACCATATCAAACGTCCACCTACCACCCGTTGACCTCTCAAAAGGAGAGCGAACCACATTGAAGTCCCCACCAATACACCAAGGCAAACACCATCGACTTCTAATCTCCCCCAACTCCTCCCATAGCAAGTGGTGCACACCATCCTCCGAAGGACCTTAAACACCCGAAAAGACCCAATTAAAACCATCCTCAACCAAAGCAAGAACACAAGAAACAGAGAAACGCCCCACCTGAGCCTCCACTTTAGACACCTCTCTGTTATCCCACATGATCAAGATGCCCCCCGAGGAACCAATAGCATCCAAAGCAATCCACTCCACAAATCTCCCACCCCAAAGACTCCTCACAATCCTATCAGACATCGAAGAAAGTTTGGTCTCTTGGAGACATACCACATGACCCCGACCTTTACGAATAACCGACTTCACCACTTTCCTCCTGACCGGATCATTGAGACCCCGAACATTCCATGAAAGAATGTGTAACTTCATAGGGAAACACTTTAGAAAGCAAACCCTCCCTTCCTTCCACCCCCTCTCCCTCCTGATCTGGACCCCCTATTTCTCCTTTCATACGTGAAAAAATCATTGGGGCTTTGCAACACTGTCTCCCCTCTCTCCTCCTGCAACCTTATCTCACCACCTGCTTTATCCTGAAAATGAGAATTGAGGACATCATTAAACAAACACAGTGCCTCATCCACTCTACCCTCAAAAGAAACCCCCAACAAAGGACACACTTCCAATCCCTTCTCCCTTACCCACTCCTCCTCAAGATCATTCACTCCAACAACATTCAAGTTGCTAACCCAATTACCCCCAGGCGGAACAACAGCCAAAGGAACAGCCAAATTCACTGCTTGTTCCAAGTCTTCCCATGGAATCATGCCCGAGTCACCATCCAGAGAAGAACCTGCAGCTCCCTCCCAATCATCAAGAACAGAAGAGGAATGCGAGCAAAATTGTGAAACAGGCTCCTCCTCTGTCAAAACTCCTCCTGAATCACCAAGAAAGCCTTTCGACGCCAAATGGTCCCGTATCTCCTTCAACAGAAAGGCAGCCGTATCATCATCAAGCTTCAGCTTCACATCCCGACCAACACAAACTGTAACTCCCTCGCACGAACCTTCACCTCGCCGAGAGAAACCATGTCTAAATCCAGAATCACCATCCTGTCTGTCCACAAGAACGGAGTCCCTCTCACCCTCCGATTCTTTAGAGAACGAAGCAGAAGCTGTCCCACCCTTCACCCGTTCCAAAGACATTGTCGACTCCCCCAAAAAAGGAGAAGAAGAAGAAGAAGAGAAACACGGTTTAATAGGAGAAGAACCAGAAGGAACTGACAACATACCCGATTCAAAACCGGATTGCGAAGATACCACCCATTTTTGCTTATCCTTTCGTGACCATTTCTTACGAAAAGCGGGAAGGATCACCTTTTTCTTCGGCAACCGACGTCTCAGGACCGGAACCTTCACTCGCCGATCAACATTCGTTCTCGTTTTCATCGACCCAGCAACACAAGGAACTCTATCATCTCGCATGGAAGGCAAGGGCTCAAACCTGTTAGACACCGGCCCAGATCCACAACTCGGCCCACCTTTTAATCCCGCAGACCCGTCAACATTAACTTCTTTAGAAGACTGGACGCTCGGCCCACCAACCACAGCACAAGGAACATGCACATCACATTCAAATCCCAAAGAAACAAAACTAGGCCTCTTAGTAACTGAAATAGGCCTTTCAGGCCCAACTAGCGGCCCAACAGACTTAGGCCCACCATTGTAAGAGATAGTAGCCTCGACACCAAGCCTTCCAACAGGCCCAACTGAATGGGAAGCCAAATTTGAAGTGAAATTTGAATTGACCGTGGGGACAGCTGGTCTCCATTGGGAATGGACAAATCCTGAGCGCCAACCACGTGGAAGCTCTGAAAACCTCTCTCTCCCACGCGCCTGATGTGCGGGGAAACCACCTCTTCGTCTTGATTGATCCCATTGCTGCACAAAAGTCCGACGACCAAATCCGGCGAAACCTCCGCCCCACTGCATCATTCGAAGCCCACCATTCCGACGGCGATTCTGCAAAAAAGGAAGCCCTTCCTTCCGCTTCTGATTTAAGATCCGTTTAAAGCACTCCGAATTACGAATCCAAAGTGTGTCCCTCCATTCTTTCCATACCTGGAATTCTGCCATTCCTTTTTTCCCCATGGATTCCCACCGCAGCCATTCTTTCTCCTTAAGCAAGTGCGAACCATCACCCCCTTCCAAGCTATCTGTCGTTGGAACAAGCTCGGGAGGCTTCTCCTCCCAAATAAACACCTTATAGCAAAACTGATCATCGTGAATGAACACAAACGGAGGGCAAACCCGACCATCAGCGACTATAATACGGACTCTTTCAGCGTCCAAAGCTTCATCAGCTTCCACCCAAATAAACCCACCACAAAGATCACCAACTGTCACGAACAAAGCATGACACCAGAGATGGAGAGGAAGACCGTACAGCGTCACCTTCTTCAGCCCCTTCTCTTTCAACACTTCCGAGCACCCAACCCTAAAGCTCCAAGCCTCCAAACAAAGAGATGCCGTACCCCAGTCACGGCGACCCCCTTTAAGAACACGAGAGGCTTCCGTCGATGAGGGAAACCGGAAAAGCAACAAAGAATCCGGCAGAGTTGAGACCGTCACTCCTGCGGAGATCTTCCAAGTACGCTCGGCCCAAGCTGCAATCTGAGCCCTGTCACCAACTTCCTTGTCAAATTTCCCAACCAGACACGATCGAAGATCTTCTCTTCTTCTTCGTACCGAATCATCATCCAGGAAAATCGATGGGCCTCTATACGGATTTGCAGATCTAGCAGATCCACCTTGGAACAACCGAGGCAATCTAGCTACCTCCAAGAAAGATCGCATGACTCAAACACTTACTCAAAGATCATGATCTTAAAATTTGGACCTTTAAGATGGCTATTAAGCTGATAATGGCTACATAAATGTAGCACCTTTTCAGTAGTCTAATAAAAATCCCCCTGGATGAAATCGTTGCACAAGACTGACTACATTATATATATATATATATATATATATAAACTATTTCTCTTCGATTTTCCTTTTCCTCATGGAGCATTGTCCAAATGTAAAAATCTTTTTAATGGATTTTGCAGCCAACTGCCAGTTTACAGCAGGCTGATAATAAGCATGCCAAATTCTACATCGAAATTAAGGCTAATTTTTAAAACAGGCAGCAACCATTGAAATTAAGTCAAATTCATTAAAACACGAAAAGACTTATTATCAGAGTATCATATAGTTATAAAGAGGAGCGGACTACAAGCTGAAACACGAAATTGCTCAAATGTTAATGGATGTATGAGAATTTTAATATAGACACCATGCATAAAATTATTTTTCATCCAAAACAGGTCAAACATAAAGGACGCATTGGAAAATAGTTTATCTGTAAAAGAAAAAGAACTTCAAAAGTAACCAAAAAAATAATAATAATCACATAATAGGAATCTAAAAATGGTAGCACAATAGTAAGGACAATGTGAATGTTATGGGGTGTGTGCGCATGTATATAACTATCACACAAACACTAAAATATATAAACAGATTGTATACATTCATATAACCACCACATAACATTTATATGTTTGTCTATCATCTATGTTAGGCAAGTTAAATAGTCCTACCTCTTGACTTCACAACACTTTTCAGTTGTCCTCCAAAAATTGCACTTATTTCCGAAGGAACGAAATTTTGTGTTCTTGTAACTGCAGATTTGTTCTTTGGGCCAACGGTCTCCCATTCATCATCTTCCCCTGAAGAAACCAAAGATGATTTTCCTCCATTTAACCTTGATAATTTTCCTTCAAGCTTAAGTAATTCGTCATGCATTTGATGCATGATGAAACTCAGAAACTCCTGTGCATCTTCTTGTCTGAAAAAGGATGTAATAATTGCCAAAAAAAAAAATGAACTTGCTTCCAATTTGATCAAAATTATGCTTATTCAAATTACACTTTAATTTTTGAAATAAAATATACAAACGGCATACAAAAGCAACCAGTATTTGTGCATAAAATATTATAGGTTCACTATGCAGGTCAGATAATTGTTTTCCTAATAAATTGTCGGGTTGTAGTGGTATACTCCAAAAAATTCTTCCCTTTCCCAATTTCATGCTCCAGCACCTGAAAATGTGATTTGGTGGAAATATATGTTTGTTTTAGCTGCAAATTGTAAAATCATGTTTCCGATCTAGCATTTGCCTGTGATAAATCCTTGACAAGGACACAATTAAACAATCTAGACAATTGCAACAGCTAAATTTGCTAAGTGCAGGAGCAAGGATCATGGCTTAAGGTGAAACAATTACAGAAGCTAACCATCCAACGATTTAAACAAAGAAAACAAAAGAGAAAAACGCTGATGCAGAAATGCACATACCTTGGCCTGCCTGAGATGCTACAAAGTACATCAGGAGTAAATTTTTTCAGCACATTTTCGAACATGGCAGGGCGAAAAGAACTACCAGTTTCAAGAACAGTCATATCTTTTTTGTTTGAGCTTGCACCACAGGGCATGTCGAAGTCAGAGACAAACTCAGCAAATGCAGCTAATGTTGGACAGCCAGCCTAAAAAGAAGAAATCAAAGTTCATAGAGAAATATATGATCATAAATAAGAGATGTTTCAACCATAAATGTGATCATGGAATTGGAACACTAAAATCTTTTGTAGATGTTTCAACCATGATATAGTACTATCAGGATCCAAATATAAGAGATATAAACATTAGCAGAGCAAACCTTAGGAATCTTGCGAATTCTTAGTTCCTGTAAGAGCTGAACAAAAGGAGAACAGGATAGAAGAGCCTGCAGAGTTGCATTAAGAAAGCACAGATTCCCTGAGTTGATTAAGCCTCTGGGTAATAAGTGTCTAACAGTTATAGCAGACCCATTAGATGCCTTGTGGGTATTCTCTTCAAAGAGCGGTTCTGCAGATGAATTATCAATGGTACCATTTGAATGTCCTTTCTCTGGGCTTCCATCAAGGGTTTCTGGTTCCAAGCCAGAGGATTCAACTGGAGAGCCATCTTCATTTTCACAAACTTGTAGAGGACTTAAACCAATGCTATCTTTAATTTGAAATTCTTTCCTGCCATTACTAAGGGTAGAACAATGAGCAGAATTCTGAATGCCTCCATTTTCCTCTAAACTTCCCAAGGCTCCAGCCAAGAGATCATTTTCTGTTTTTACACTCCTGCCTTTATTGTCTCCTTGGATATTAGAGGGCTGACAACCTACTGGCACTTTTGAAGAATCCAGCTGTTTGAGTGGTTCTTCACTGAATCCACCAAAAGATATTTCACCTACGAAATTCGTTGAACCAAATTGCAGCTCTTTCTTTTCCACGGGCTTTTCAGCATTTTTAGATGACTGTCCCAGCAATGACTTGGTTTCATCTTCAGTGAACGACCCAAATACTAATAGCTGCAAGAATGAAATACAAGCAACAAATTAACAAATAAACAATGAAGGAGGAAGAGGAATAAGGATCTACATTGTTTCAGCCAATCAGCAATTCTACCAAAAGGAGAAGGGGGAAAAAGTTGAAAATAGTTCAGAAAAGAACAAAAAGCACAAGCAGCATGCAACCATATGTAATCTTTTCTAAGAAATCAGAAAGTCAAAATAGAGCAGCCAACAACAGAATTGATCAAGGGAATTATATTAAAGAGAAAACAGAAGTTCACAATATTGCGAAAAAAAAAAAAAAAAATTATTATCATTCATAACCTGTTTTGTCACATCACACAAGCACCAAACATTTAACACTTGTGGGCTAATTTTGTTGCATGCAAATTCTAATTTATGATTCTAATTATTCGAGGAATCTTTCTGAATGTTGGGCCCTATGTTCCAGGATCGTATATATGTGTCGCCGTGTCGAATGTGGGTGTGTGGCTATGGGTCGAATTTATCCATCTCTAAAATTAGAGGATATGGGGACTAGGCTAAGATTGGACACCGATATTTGGACATATGTAGTACAGACAATGAAAATGTAACCATTGATTCTCTTTTCTAATGTAAAAGAAGTTATGCTTCAGTTTGTCACACTTAGCAAAAGAAAATGTTAAGATAACAGTTTTAAGTAATAAACAATCTTCAAAATATGGTCCATCTGTTTTAAGTAGTAAACAATTTTAAATAAAAAAGCACTTACAACCTGTCCTCACCTCCTCTTTAAAAAAATAATAAATAAATAAAAAGAAAGGCATGTCATTTGTTTTTGTCATTGATTGTTTAAGTATATATTAGTATTTATCACATTAATTATTACTTAAATAAGTAGTTGTGGTTTCATAGAAGTCTAATAAAAGATAGTACAAGAAGTAGTCTTGGACGTCAGAGCAACTCCAATGGAGTCACTAAATTTGGCACTCCAGATTTGCCATGTCAGCATTTTCTAAGAGCCACGTCTGTATTTTCAAGAGCCACGTCTGCATTTTGGAGTCTCCAAATTTTATCATTTGACTTATTAATATCCATTATCATATGACTTATTAATTTATAGAGGTGAAAACAAAGACACATTTTTTTTTTAAATCATCTATTAAAATAAATATCAATTTGTTAGGGAAAAAAAAATCAAAAAATTTGTTTGGTTAGCCAATATAGCCGTTAAGACACTGTTTGGGTCAGCCAAACAGTGCCTAAAACGGCTATAATGCCAATAGGAACACTGAAAAATTAAAAAATAATAATAATAACTTTTCCCAATTTTTTTTTACCTTTTTGCCCAAAAAAAGCCTTCAAGGCACTGTTTGTGTCAGCCAAACAGTGCCTTAACGGCTCTTTGGTTCAGTTATGTTGAGGGGGAAAAAAAAAGAAAAAAAGAAAAAAGGCCAAAAAAGGCAAAAACAAAACTGGTTTCTGGAATTTATTTCCAGCCAAACACGCCCCTAAATGGATTTTTTGGCTACAGTAATTGGGCCACAAAATTTTAAAATAAAAAAGCAAAGCGGGCCGCGATCGCCATATGGGTCGCCCTTTTGGCGACCCATTCTCTGATCCAAATGATGTGGCCCAATTTTGGCGACCCAGAATGGAACAAATTGGGTCGCCAAAATGGGCCCAAATCGCTTAAAAACCCACTGTTGGACCTGCACTGAAAAAGACAAAAGCAAACGGTTCAATGTGATATCACACAACAAGAAGGGAAACATGGAATCCAGATGGCAATTAACTGAGCAACAATCAAAACATCAAATAGAGATCTGACAGTCTGTAATGTGTGTAAATTCACTCTTCGGCCAAACGCAGAAAATCCTGCAACGGCAACACATGAAAGAAACGATCGTCTTCAGCCAGTAAAAAAACTTCTACTCTCGAACTAGCAACCTCCATGGACATGACAGACAACACTCGATCTAACAAAAACAATACTTAGAAAAAATTTCTAAAACCCTCACAACTAAAACAGTCTTCTATCAGCTCAAATATATACTTTCAATTTACATCCAGTTCTCCATATCACTCTGAATCACTCACCTGTCACCTTCAACTTTCAAGGAGTGCTTAACAAAGAAGAACTTAACAATATCTTATGCATCTTAAATCCAAGCACTGGTTCTAATATCCGACAAATTGTTACAACAGAAGAACACCTTGGGTTTATGCCATTGTCTCATGAAAAGTTGAAGAATTTTGAAGTATCAAACTAACAAACTACACAGTACTCTTTGCCAGTGTTTGAAAAATCAACCACCATAAGAACTAAGAAGTGAAAACTGAATCTAGATTTAGTTGTTCTTTGTCCCTGCAATTACTACATAGTTGCAGTGACAATTGTTTACCAGGATCTTCACAGAAATAGGAATAAATTGCATGTAGTTCATTAAAACAGTAATTATAAAAAGAAGTTGATTTACATCTAGTTTATAATTTCCGAAAAATAAATCATATATAGAACACATAAGAACTATGCATTTACAACTACTATAATTATGGAATGATGATAATAAAAGAAAACTCTTTTCCCTTCCTTCTTTCGCCTGTGTGCTTTTTAAAGCTTTTTATTTCCAGTAACTTATTAAATAAGTAAATTTATTCTATCTTTTTATATATTCTTTGGCATTTATACTTGTCCATAAAATCCACAACTTATTCTTGTATGATAATGTTCACATAATCATATCTCTCAGTCTCTTTCTAGTTAAAATCACATATAACTACAGGCAGCAATTTTTTATTTTTGGCTACCCTTTACAACCTCTATACTTCAGTCTATATAAATTACAAGCAATACAATGCCTAATAATTCCCATTCATATTTACCATTCCATTCCACCAGAGACGTCTCTTTTACATTGATAAATCTAATAAAGAAAATCACTGATAGCCTAATAAATTGCCACTTCTGTATGAATAATGCCACTTCACGTACAAAAAGATCAACAATTCCACTCGATGTTGAACCACATATTAACAACTCTCTCCCTCTTTCTCAATCAAACCACTAAAATGACAATAATTTCACTACAATAACTAAAACCAAAACATTAAAAAAAATTGAAACTTCCTATATCTCTATCAATTAATTACAAGTACCCAAATATCAGAAACAGGTATGAGCAATATATCAACAAAATATCATATAAATCGATACTAACCTCAGAACCACTCATGTTATACTGATGATTGAAGATTTGAACACAAAACCCTTGAACTGATAGTAGATTTTTGCCGACGAAATTGACAATGGAGGTGTATAGATAATGAATCAGAAACTATGGTTTGAGGCCGCTTTGTCGGAGAGAGAGCACTGGAGAGAGAGATGTCGATGGAAGACATGAAATATGGAGAGATTGAGATCGAGAAAGAGGAACAGACCATTTACGAATTGAACCCTCCCTTTGGCCCTGAAGGAGCTTAGCAGAGGATCTGATTGTCCAAACGCGCATCGACCGTAACGTGTGTAGAGAGAGAAAAGAAGAGAGAAGAGAGAGAGGTTAACTCCCTTTTCTGATGCTGTTTAGGTTCAGGTCTAGGTTTTTCACAAGATGGGGGCGGTTGTATACACAGCATTAGGGCATTGTTTGGGAAAAGCAACTCGTATATTTGGGTACAAAATTAATACGTAGTAACAAAAAATGTTAATATACACCCCGAAAAATAATATAAATGTTAATATTTCAATTTTTTTTTTTTTTTTACATGCATCACAATACTTTTAATAAAGAAAAATATAAAAAAAAAAAAAAAAAATTTAAGTAAAATTTATACTTATAATTGCACCAACATATAAATTAAAATCTTATATATTTACTCATATTATATATTATTATATTATTTGTATGATATATATATTTTTATATATTGTGTACATATATACGTAGTATAAGTAAATGAGATGGCCATTGGATAAAATAAAAAAACAGATCTACAAAAATAAATTTTAATTACAAAAAAGTTATTGAATGATATAAAATAATAGACTTTTCTCTATATTTTTTTTAATAGAAAAAAATGAGAAATAAAAAATATATTATAGGATTTAACTATGTTAGACTTTTGCTAAAGAAATAGCATGTAATAGCACGATAAATTTTACTTTTTAATTTTATTTTATATATAAATACAGGGGCGGGGCCAGGATTGAATTTTAGAAGGTGCGTATTGTACTTGACAAAAACAAAAAAAAATCCAATTAAGACCAGAAAAAATATATATATTTCACATCAAAAAAATCCAACTAATATCAAAAATTATTAAAAAAAAAAAATTCAAATCAAAAGGCAAACAAAAAAATCATTCAATGCCAATATTGATTTGTTAAACTGAAAAAGACAGTTAAAATACTTGGCAATTATAAGAACCAAATATAGATTTTGATAATATTTTCATTGAATACCAAAATAAATATTTACAAATTATAGTATAAAATAGCAATTATAGTATAAAAGAGTTACAGTCATGCAAATCAAATGGCTGAATATTTTGATTGGTAAAATAACTGAATTACTCTCAATATATATTAAATATTTTTTAGGGACGCATATTTGAATTTAAAAAAAAAAAAATACACACAATAGTACTAATTTTTGTTTTTTCAAGGGGCACACTGTCCCTCCGACCCTTTATATATATATTTAATTAAAAGTACGGTAATAAACAGTAACAAAACATATAAGTTCAAATATTATTATTCATGAAATATAAAAAAATAAAAATAATATTTTAGCTAAATTTACACAATTAGACAAATTACATAAAACCCCGTTAAGTTGGTTGGTGCTGGCGTATTCTCTCCACAATCAACACTCTCTCTCCACGGCCTATAAGCCAGAAATTTTTGTCTGGGGCAGATTTCTACAGTTCTACTATGCAACTCAAATTTTAAAAAAAATTACTTGTATAAATTAATTGTAATATAATTTTGTTTTAATAATAGACTAATAGTCATAGTATATAACTATATATATCTCGAAAAAAAAATCAAAAATGAGAAAAATACAACTTAAATAAATAGATAGAAAATTGATATGAGAAAGAAAAATATAAATAAAAAAAAAAAACTAAAGATAAATTACGATTAAAAAAAAAGTGATAAAGAAATAAGCATAGATAGAAAATTAATTTCCTTCATCAATTATTTATGTTTTTCACAAATCTAATTTTTGAAAGAAAAAATTTTGAGTACAAATCTAATTTTTGATAGAAAATTTTTTGAGTACTTTAATTCCATTTTGAAAAAAATACTCAGTATATCATTATTACCAACAAAGTCTCTCAGGCTTAAACTAAACAAGATTATTATTTTAATAACGTACACAAATACTATTTCAAGCAGGTACGAACTAAATTTATTTGGGGGGCTAATTTAAAGTTTTTTATAAAATTTAAGTACCTATTTGCAAATAAATTATCACCTAGGGATATTAACAAAAATTTTGTAAAATTTTGGGAGGTCCGTAGCCCCTACCTCCAACCACCCACCTCCACCCTCTCCAACCCCACCCCCACCCTCGTCTCTCACCTCCACCGTTCTCTTTCCACCGCTCCAACCGGCCCACATATCTCTCTTTCTCTCTCCATTACTCCAACGCCCCCATTCATTTTCTCTCCCCCACCTATTTTCATGATACGGATCTTGAATGACGTGGCCTAATTTTAAAAGGAAATAGTTCTAATAAGGGTTAGTTTTAATAGGTATTCAAGATCCGAAAAAATCAAACTATAATTAAAATTAGGTTTTTATTTTCATACTCGCTCAATGAAGGTAAGCCTGTAACGCTGTAAAATTTTATTGCATACTTTAAAGTTTAAAAAATAAAATGCATATAATGAATAAGTATCTTTATTTTTTTTTTATTATATATTTAATGAAAACTTATTATTTTCTGTCCCTCAAATTTTGAAGAGTTTTTAATTTTTTTGAGAGAGCAAAAGAAAATAATCACAAATCGAAAACAACTTCCTTGTTCCATATTTTTAAATTCACAAAGTAAAAATTCATAACACTATACCGTTTGAATATATTAAATCATTTTAACATTAAGAAAAAAATTCATTAATTACTGATTTTAAAAAAACAAATTCTGTAGGATTTAGTATTTTGGTAATGGGGTAGAGGGAGAGTTTTCAGTTTCCGGTTTGTGAGGCAAATTTTCCTTTCTTTTTTGTTTTTTTGCCTTTCCTTTCCTTTCATTTTCATTTCAGTTCCATGTAAGGATCAAGTCTTGCTATTTAACTAGACAAATAAAAACCTTCTACCTTACTAAGTCAATACTATTTAGAAAATTGTAGTCATTTTTTTAAGTTTTATCTTAATATAGTATCTTTATTGACAATTAAAGTTTTAATAACCGTGTATATCAAATTGTGTATCTATTATATATATACATCACATTACATCTTTGTAAGAACTCAAATCCTAGGTACCTTATACCCTCCCTCTAGGTACCTTGCCCTTTTTCCTTCTAAATTGAATGTTTAATTTTTCAAAATATATATTAAACATTTATATAATAATGCATATTTGATGGGAAAAGTATACCCAAAAAAAAAACTAGTTATATTATAAGGTAAAATGCAACCGTTTTGCAGTAAACCCTCATTTACCGTATTTTTGCCAAAAAAAAACCCCTCAACTAACCGAGGGAGATGTTTTTTTTTTCATTTTTGCCAAGAATTCCCCCAACTAACGAAATCAATGGGGGGTTTTATGCAAGTTGCCCAATTGTTTGAATTTAGCTAAAGAATATATTATTTTTCTTTCTTAAACTATAATATTCGAACTAATATTTTTTTCGTTACATGCATCACCATATTTTTAATTAATATATATATATATATATATACACACACATATATATAATTATAAAGTAAAATTCATAGTTATAAATACAACTACATGCTATTTGTTTAGCATATGCCTAGCATAGTTAAATATTGAAATATTTATTTATTTTAATTACAAAAAAAAAAAAAAAAAATCTCTATTTGGTTCATTCGTTACATGCATCACCATACTTTTAATTAATATATATATATATATATATATATATATATATATATATAATTATAAAGTAAAATTCATAGTTATAAATACAACTACATGCTGTTTGTTTAGCATATGTCTAGCATAGTTAAATATTGAAATATTTATTTATGTTAATTCCAAAAAAAGAAAAAGGAAGAGAAAAACGTGTTTGGTTTGTAATTATGAAAACAGTTTTGTGTTATCATAAAACTAAAAATAGAAAACTATAAAATACAAAAAAAAAAAAAAAACTAAACTTTGCTTGGTTCAATTTTCTGCAAATTGATTTTTGAAAATTTAGTTATAAAAAAGGCTTCTTTTTAGATAACAGTCTTTTATTATTTTTCAAAAACTGTTTTCTATTTTTTTAATTTCTGATAACTGTTTTTAGAATTACAAACCAAGCGGGCCCGTACTATTTTATGCCATTCAATTACTTTTTTGTAATTAAAATTTATTTTTATCGATCTAATTTTTCAATCAAATGTCCATCTTATTGAAGTCAAATATAATATATATGGATAATATATTATATACTTATATATATATACACATGTACACATTATATAAAATAAAAAATATAATATAAATAATAGTATGATAATATACAATATGAATAAACATGTAAAATTTGAACTTCACTCATAACTATATATATATATATATATGTTTTTCTTTAATTCCAACTAGGACAATATTTAAGTCCTCACTAGTAAGAATGTACAATACACTAACCACTAACGTGGACCAATAATAAATGAATACATCCTATTTTAATTACCAAATCATAAATGGTAATCAAACCACAATCTCTAATTTGGTAAGTAAGTGTCTTCCCACTATTTTTTATTTGGTAATTAAATATGACATGCCCATTTATTATTGGTCCACGTAATCAGCATGTTGTTCTTAAAAATATGGTGATGCATGTAACAAAAAAAAAAAAGTTTAAATATTATTATTCGAAAAAAAAAAAAAATAGCTAAATTCACCCAATTGGGCAAATTGTATAAAACCTCCTTTCACTTGGTTAGTGGGAGTATTTTTGGCAAAAATTTTAAAAGTCACCCCCTCTGTTAGTTGAAGGGGTGTTTTTTAACAAAAAAAAATAGTAAAGGAGACTTTAATACAAAACGGTAAAATTTAAATGCACTTTACCCTATATTATATACATATAAATCATAGCATGTAGCATATATGCTGTGAAAATGTATATTTGTCCTAACAAAATTTTTAATGATCATTTCACTCTTATATTCAACTGCCAATGTTTGGAACTTAGGGTGCACACGAATAAGTTTAAGTCACTTCTGTTTTTTTTTTTTTTTTTGGTTTATGTTTGGACTCGACCCCTCCTCTCCTTGGCCAAAGGCTCTTTGACATATTGGTTTGGTTATGAATCAAATTTTAGTAAATTTAGAAGGATCATTTGTTTTTGAGGATTGAGAGTTAATATATGTATATATCCATCCAACTCATCCAAATTAATCAGATTCGTCATCTATATAAGTATACATTAGCCTTCACATGATTGGTCCAATGGGATTACCCCACATAGAATTGATTCATACAAATTAAAATATATCAACACAAGAACACGACTTGAAATCCACATGGGCCACATTGTCCTAAAAGTTTAGGGTCGGTGTATCTGAGCAAGGCAAAGAAAGAGGAGGAGTTTCTTTTTTCCTTTTTTAATAGTTTTTTCTACTTTTAAACAAATTTCACATGTTCTATGTATGGGAAAAAATCAGAAGAAGTTTTATGTCTGAGGTTAAACAAGCTAGATAGCACTTCATAAGAGGGTAAAACAGACATTTAAAGTCGCAATAGCTTCATAACAACAAATATAAAACAAAAAACAAAACAACAAAAACAAAAAACAAAAAGCTCTTCTACTCTTCATACGTACAATTTACAAACACCATCACAGGTAGCTTTTACTTTACACTAAGAATATAATATTTTAAATTATTTTATTCCTTTTGTTTATGATTATTATTTTTTGAAAATTGAACTGAAAAAATTTCAAGAATAATCCCACTTTCAAATCATTTAATCTTTTTTCGAAAGTACAAAAAAATGTTCAAATTTTTTTTTTGAGTGTAATGTGATTTTGAAAAAAATAAAAATTGTGTACAATATATTTAAAATTATAATTAATTGCGCAAAATCCTCTGAATTTAAAAATTACAAATTATAATCCTAGACTAAAAGTTACTCCCCTAAAATAATTGAAGTTTACAACCAAGGACAACCAGTCGAGCAGTGGCGCCATTACATTAATTGCATAATACTCTTTTTGAACTATAAGGAATTTACTTAAAAAATAAAATTAGTAAAATAAAAAATTACTAAATAAATAAAATTTGGTTTCCCAAAAGAAGGTTCTAAAAGAAACATTTTTTTTCGTAGGTGGGCCTAACCCGAGCAAACCAACTCTTGCCCAAAAAATTTACAAGCGTGAGCAAATACTTTCGATCATGGAATTGGATTGCGTTTGAAATTTAGAACCCGAATTTATTTTGGGTGAAATTTGAGCAAATGTTTTACTAACCCAAGTAACCTAAAAATGCATGAAAAAGTTTGTACTTAAATGATTTATAATGTCATATATATTAATATAAATTTGATAAGCTTGCTTTAAAATTTTTTATAAAAATTATAATAATTGACTTTTGGTTAAAGAAACAAAATAATAAAGAATATACAGTTTTGAGTTATTTTCAAATTCTAATAAGAATAAAAATTATTCAATTTCACAAGTTTTATCACATAATACGAGCGATTTTATTTAACGTCAAGCGTATGTAGTTATATATTTTAATTTGTTTTTGTAACGTTTACTAATTAATAGTTTGTTCAAATATCGGACAACTCGAGGAACTTGAAAAAATCATAAAACTTGTGCAGTATGATGAGAGTTGAGATGCAATGAGTGTTTCGAGACTCGAGATTTGTATGAGTATAAATGTTACAACATTTGGTTTAAGCGTGGGCTAATCTTACCCGCCTAAGTTTCATCCTTACAGTGATAACCAAACGGGAAGTTTTTTTTTTTAAACAAGAACTTTTGAAATTTGAAAGGACCTTTTGAAGCCTCATAAAATTCTCCAAACATGACCTTATTATATCAAAATAGTTATTTGTTAAAAAATTGAGTATATATGCCTTTTATTTTTTTATAATTCATGAGAGTTATTTAGTAAAAGTTAAAATTTTCTCTCATGACATACAACTTAATGGTACGTAGTATTTGTTTTGAAAAGTTGAGAATTTGAGTTTCTTCACTGGTGCTGTGGTAATTTGTTGGGAAGAAATAAAAATAATATATAAAATAAATGTGACATTGGTGATTCAGTTTTGTAGTCATTAGTTATTACTAACTTTGTTATTTTTATTAATTAATTAATTTATTTTACCCTCCAACACCCAATTGTCATTATTTGAAATTTAACAATCACTTAAATTACTACACCATACTTAATTTTGTAACAAATACCAGCAAGACTTGTAAATGCGGTTGTAAATTGTGATGACAACTTTTTGCACAATTTTGAACTGCACTTTTAGAAGGTAATTAATCATTTTCAAAAAATTCAAGACCAATCCAAGATTACAAGAATATTACAGTACTTTTTTTTTTTAAACACCAAACAGCCCTGAGAACTCCGTTGAAATCCAAAATCTCACGCAGCATCTTTGTCTGTGCTCTCTCTCTCTCATGGCGGGTCTGTACTCTTCCCTCAGACCCCAAAATTCATCATCCAATCACTCTTTCGCCTCCAAGCTCCTCCTCCTCCTCACTCTCCTTCCTCTCACCCTCGCAGCCTTCGCTTTCATCCTTCAATGGCGAGGCGGTGCCGTGAACGACCCAGTCGCTCGATGGTCTCCCGAAGAGGCCCACAAGTTTCCGGGCATGGACAGCTCTCCTCTACCCACAATCGGCCACTCCTCATCCTCCGACTGTGTCCATCTCGGCCACAGTTCTTCGCCTTCTTTTCCTTACTATCGTGATTGGAAGTTCAAATTTCAATCCGATCTCAAGCCCAAGGTTTGATTTCTCTTCCAGATTGTTGGTTTAATGGTTTTTAGGATCGATCTGTTTCTGGGGCGTTTTTAAATTATTGTTTGCTTGTTGGGTTTTGCGAGATTCGCATTTCGATGTGTTTAAGACGTTTAACTGTATGTTAGGGCTAGTTTTGGATTGATGCATAACTGATGAATAGAAAATTAGATTAGATTTGTGTTCAATGGTTTATGCTGTTTTGGTATCTGATTTAAAATGATATAATTGACAAATACGAACTGCATGGTAGGGCTATCATTTTGGGTTGATGCGAAACTGAGGGATAAAAACGGGAATAAATTTTGTCTCACATGTTTTATGCTGTTTTGGTGTCTTGAATGAAATGATAAAATCGACACATACTAAGTTAATCAGGGTTATTAGGTTCAGCTGAGTGAAGTTTTTGCCTTTTGGGGTCCCAAATATGTTGAACTAATTTTTCTCCAATTTCAATTCCAATTCCAATTCCAAGGTACCAATTCCATTCAACCGAACATAGCACTAATTTTGAGGTTGAAAATTTTAAAAGCGTATTAGATACTCTATTTTCAAGTAGTCTTGATGAGCGAACATGTTGAAATTGAGGAGAGTTCTTGAATGTGGATTCTGGATTTTGTTGTATGATTGACGGATGTAGTTGGGTTTGTCAAAACTAAATTAATGAATAACAGTGGTGATTGGTCAGATATATCATAAGTATATATCCACTTGTATTAATAACAACTTTATGTACCCTAATCTAATTTTATGTGTAACATTGTGGAGTTGATTTGACGATGATTATGGTGCCAATGTCCTGTAAAGCGTACATTTTTATTCTGATACTGCCCAAGGTGTAGGAACACGTGTGCCTGGTTACAGGATGTGTGCTTAGACATTTGAAGCTCGGATTTCTTAGATTGACCATCTATAACCTTCAGCACCTTCATATGCTAACAATGCAATGATGATGATGCTGTACAACATAACTTATTATTCTGGGTTCTTTTGTCAATTATACGGAGAGGAGCTTAGCTGGGCCTGGGCCGTTGTTCAAGTTTTCTTACCGGCAAGGTCCTAAATTCTGAGAATACCAACTTGAGAAAACCAGCCAGTTAGAATCCTAATTTTGGTCCTATACGTTTTAAAATGACAGTGATGATTATGGATTTTTAAGGCTTGTTATTATCCGTTCTAATTAGATCTTGTATGGATGATGTCTACTTTACAGGCAAATTGTGTTCATTATACTTTTATTAATTATTCAACTATAACGATTGAGATTTTTTGAGGTCATGTTTAACTTTACTCTCAATCTGCAGATATGTATTACAACGAGTACATCAGCTGGCCTAGAGCAGATATTACCATGGATGTTCTATCATAAAGTTATTGGAGTTACAACATTTTTGCTTTTTGTTGAAGGAAAAGCTGCATCTCCTAGTGTATCTAAAGTCCTGGAATCTATTCCTGTGAGTTTGTATCCTCTGCCATCAAACTTTCTTAGTCTTTTGGTTTGCCTTTTTTTTTTTTTTTTTTTTTTTTTAATATTAAATTTCGCGGTATTTAGTTTTAATTATGTGAGCCTGAGCTTTTTGCTTTATTCTCAGGGAGTAAAAGTAATATACAGAACAAAAGAGTTAGAAGAGCAACAAGCAAAAAGGTTTGTCGTTTTTTCCCTTTTGTTACTTATTATGTCTTTAATCATTAAGTTGCCTAATTATGTATGTGTTTCTGTGCACTGTTTTTGGTATCGTTAGCCGGATCTGGAATGAGACATGGCTGTCAAGTTTCTTTTACAAACCCTGCAATTATGAGCTTTTTGTGAAGCAGTCACTCAATATGGAGATGGCTATAGTCATGGCAAGGGTACATTTTCTTGTCTCTTTGAGTATCAAAATTGTAACTGTTGTTCTTGTTTATTTTATTAATCAATAGATACTATGGTGTTTTTATGAATTTAGAATGCTGGCGTGGACTGGATAATTCATCTGGATACCGATGAATTACTGCACCCAGCAGGTGGTCGGGAGTATTCTTTGAGGCAGTTGCTGCTTGAGGTGCCTGGGAATGTGGATATGGTTGTCTTTCCAAATTATGTGAGTGAAACAATAAGTATTTGTTGTTATTCTTCTATAATAGAAACAATTCTCATTGGTAATTGTAGAAAGATGGTTAATCACATTAGTTCTGTTGTCTCTATGTACTCTTGTTTTCATAGCCATCAATTAGAAAATGTCTTCAAAGAACTTCAAGAATGATGTTGTTGTTATTATTTTAATTTTTGATCCAGGAAAGCAGTGTTGAGCGAGATGACATCAAGGATCCTTTCACGGAGGTAAAACTCGCATTCTGTTCATTTCCCTTACTTTATACTTTGTTCTCTTTCGGTAGATCTCTGTGTTCTCTTTCAGTAGATCCATATATAAAACTTTTGAGTTTGAAATCTAACACAAAGGTATTTGTGAAATTTTTCAGTGTATGTCTCATATCATTTTCTATTTGTACGTTAATTTGTTGGAAATCTCTGTGTACGTTAATGGACTGAAAAATTGTATCACGTTCTCCATTGATTTTACAAGTTAGTAAACCTTGTATAGTTGTAGAAATTTCTACATGTACACTGCTTATAGTTACAATTTAAACTCTGGCTCTAAGGAATGAAAAATTATGAATAATCACATGCATTTCACTCATAATTCTTGCAACCATTTCTCAAGGTTAGGTATCATAAAAATGCATAAGCTTGTCTAGTTTCTTTTAAAATCTCAGACCTTAGTATCTTTGATTGAAAGAACATGAATATTATTATTTTTTTTTTTTTTCTGGCTAGTTAAGGAACATGTAGAAATACATAGATTGTTAAAGACTTTTTCTTCTACTAACTTTTGACTAAGAAGACTGTTATACCTGTTAGTGACCATAATAAAGATTCAATATCATGACTTGACCTGAAACAAAACTCATGAACCACTACCACACTTGCATCAAGTATATGTGAAATTTGATAAATGTCGACCATGTTTACAGAAGTTGACCAGACACATAAATAACATGAGTCCAAATAAGATGCATTATAAAGTTTTGCTATCAGCATATTAGTCTGATATTAACAAAGATTCAAAGTAAACTGAAACTTGATTAAACAACGTTCCAAATGGGTTCTTATGAAATTGTCAATATATATTTTTTCTTGTTCTCATGTCATGCATCAGGTATTCAAGTTGGAAACAGTTGATTTTCTTTTTCTTCTGTCGAATCTGTCATGAGATCCAATTTCTCATTCAATCCAAATGATATGTCCAGAAATTTTGAATTACTATTTTTGTTTGTTGATCCCATAGTCATGGAATAAGTTAGATGTTAATTATGATCCTCTAAACATGCCAATGGAAAAGATGTATGAGGAGTGAGAAAATATTGTGATGCAGCATTTGAAATTTCACCCAATACGAGGACTTGGGTTGGTTGTATTGTTATCATCAGGCTCTGAGATGAACAGTAGTTGTCATCAGGCTCTGAGATGAACAGTTGACGTGATACAAAAATTATACCCTTTGTGGCCCTCTTGGGATTCTTCTTTGTCTTTCTTCCCTCTCCCGTTCTTTGCTCTTCGTCTTTCTGTTTTAGAGTGCTTTGACTTTATTTATCTAGTTATCTTGTGTAGGGACTGTGACATTTATTTCATTATATTAGCATGAATTTGAGGATGCATTCTACTGAAAACCTCTTTTTTTGTTGTATCTATGCTGCAAATAGGTATCAATGTTCAAGAAGAACTATGACCATCTTCCAAAGGATACATACTTTGGCATGTACAAAGAATCAACCCGTGGTAATCCAAACTACTTCTTGACTTATGGAAACGGGAAGTCAGCTGCTCGAATTCAAGATCATCTTCGACCAAATGGTGCACACAGATGGCACAACTACATGAAAACCCCAAAGTATGCTAAATTTGTCATCTATATGGGCATGCCAGAGATACCTGCTTACATATGCACATTAAGCATTCCCACTTGAAGCCTTTGTTTAATTGTTATTTATGTCATATATATATATATATATATGTATATATATATAATCTTTGGTCAAAGGAGCAGTATCATTTTTACATGTTTTAAATGTGATTTTCATGTAATCTTTGACAGTGAGATCAAATTGGAAGAGGCTGCTGTTCTACATTTCACATATTCCAAATTTTCAGATTTGACTTCCAGACGAGATCGATGTGGCTGCAAGCCTACTAAAGATGATGTGAAAAGATGCTTTATGTTAGAATTTGACAGATCTGTAAGTTCAGTTTCTTCTATCTGTTCCTACTTCATGTTATTAGTTGCAATACTATTAGTAAACATTTATTGCACAAAAATTGCTAATGAAAGCACGCTACTTTAGATATAACAATGCATATATTTTTTAATTTTCACTGTTAGTTATACTCATTTTGTTTTTCTTAATTAAATTCCCTAAGTTCTATCTACAGAAGTAATGATTATTATATTTCATATGCTGCTACTCCTACTTTGTTGTCATAATTATATTCTTGTCCTGTATAAAAAATTGTCATTGCGAGCTTGACTTGTTTTGACCATTTGTTTACTAAGAAAAATTTAAAAATGGTGGACACTTAGATATGTGTTCATTTTGTTTTTGAAATTGTTAGACATAGCTACTCTTAGATGTGTTTTTTCTTACAAAAAACTTGTTATGGGAAGTCTATAGAATGTGTTGACTAAGTGTAGGATGTGTTTGCCAAGGTTCAAATAATGAAATTTATTTTGAAATCATGGACACGTCCATAAAGGATTGGACATGCGTTCAGGAATATTAATGACGTGTTGGCATCCATTATGTGTCAGACCGGACACAAAACCTTTTTAAAAGTATCTGTGCTGCTTAAAGGGCCACCGTGGGCGTTCCCTTCTCCCTTAGATCTTGTGCGTGTTGACCTTGTGGAGAGAGTGGGAAAGGGACTACTGGACATATGTTTCTCTTGAAGAGTGGCAATGCATTAGATATATGCCATAGTTTCTTGGTTGTCCTTCAAATGTGCACAACTGCATATGTTTGACATGTGGCCTTATGTACCCGATACAACTGCCACTTGCATAGAAACTTCTCTCCACCCACTTTGTGGACATGGGGGCTACACTCTCTCATTTTCTCTCTCCTTCCTCTCCTACCTCCACCAACAACTTTCCCGGATCCCTATGGAAGGGTGTATAGTAAATCAATATCTGCAAGTGGAAAAAGTTAAGTTAATCAGGGCAGCTTGGTTTGAAGAACATCATAAAATATTTGCTATGATGTTGTTTTAAGTCAGCAGAGTTAAGTGGGGTTTTTTTTTTTTTCTTCTCAGTAATTGTTTTTTCCTTTGAAAAATTTTAAATTATTGTTGGGCCCGTTTTGTAACATCTTCAGTGTTTGAACATTAGTCATCTGACATGAAATTAAAAACCTTGGTTTTGTATGGTCTTGGATCCAAGTCTGTACCTTACATCAACTGTTCTAAATCTTTGTTTTCCTTTTCTATTAGTTTGTTTGCGTACTTATCCACATGCAAGAAATGGATGCACGTGGAGGGTTTTAGAAGTTGATATACATTGCCGAGTCTATTCCCTTCTCAGCATAAGTTTTTGAGTCGATTAGTACTCTAATTGGATGAGTAACAAGGATATGATCACAGAAAGTTGTCATCATTTTTGACGTTGTCATGCAAGAAATGGATGCACGTGGAGGGTTTTAGAAGTTGATATACATTGCCGAGTCTATTCCCTTCTCAGCATAAGTTTTTGAGTCGATTAGTACTCTAATAGGATGAGTAACAAGGATATGCTCACAGAAAGTTGTCATCATTTTTGACGTTGTCATCATTATCATCATCCCTGTCTTTTTCCCAAACGAATGAGATGGCCAGGGAAAGTGTGATCAGCAATGTAGGCTATTAAACATGGAGGTTTGATTGATATATTCATTTATTTGGAACAAAGAGTTCTATTGCAAGTTATTACTAATGATGGGTGATAACAGGAGGCCAATAAAGACATAAATTGGGGTAACGGAATTGTGAAACCAGTAAAAATAGAGTGACATAGCAGGAATTTTTACCTGATAAGTGCTTGATAGTGCTCAAGAGAATGATGACGATGACAGATGTGATGCAGATGGGCCTCTGTGAACTCTCATGCAAAGTTGTTCGTGAAGTGGTTATGCTGGTTTGGGTTAGGAGTTGGCATTAATTTCTTTTAGTAGTTAATTTTTAGAAACCCAATTATCATTGCTTTTGATGTCAGGACAACATGACACACAGAATGACACTAGCTTGTTAACAGGAAACCGAAGAAGCTACTTCTTTTGGGAGTTTATACTGTGTGTTATCATCAATCATGCTCTTTCCCCCACCCCCCCCCCCCCCCCCCCCCCCCCCCCCAATAATGAATGGGCCTTTTCAAATCCTTTTCTGGAGTTGTTTTTCATCCAAATGTCAAATATGTTCTTACTTACGAATAGTAGAGGCATTGGGTATACTGTTAGTTTCTATATTATGAAATTATCAGGAGCAAGTAATAGTCATTTGGTTAATATATAATTAAAACCTTATAGCACAATAATGTGATTAAATATGTAACACATTTTTATTTAGTGAGTTGAGTTTGCTGTGAGTCCTATTTTCCTTTTGACAGATATTTCATTGTAACAAGTGCACATTGCTAATTGCAGGCATTCATAATTGCTTCAACTGCAACAGAGGAGGAAATGCTTAGCTGGTATATTTGAACTGCTAAACATTAGTATTATTTTCCTTGAATTTGTCTCTTCAATCAGAATATTCGGAGAATCCTTTAGATCTAATTGATTCAATTCCATGGAAATGTTATCAATATATACTTCTTTTCCGAATCCTTTATTTTTCAAACAAATTTACGATTTGTTATTTTTGCTTTTGGCTTAGGTACCGTGAACATGTAGTTTGGACTGACAAAGCACTGAACACAAAGCTATTGAGAAAGGGTATTTTAACTCGCATATATGCTCCCATGGTAAGAACGATCTCTGCTATGTTCTAAAATCTTTTGCTGGGAAAAATGAAGATACGTGAAACAAAAATTATTAAACCTAATATTCTCATCTATCCATCTAAAAAAGCAGCTAAGCAATAAAAAAGTTATCAGTAGGTAAGAGCTAAGAGAAGGGAAATGCATTTGGTATGTGGCATTGCCATTAAATGGTTACATTTTGTTTCCTAGTTCCCTTTGCACATGTACATCTGTAAAATTTGTAACTGCTACTGAAAATGGTCAACTTATATTTTTGTTGAAATCCTTTATGATCGTCATACACATGCTGACTTATAGAAGATTGTTTCTTCCCTGGTGGCGGAAGCTTGGGGAAAGGTGGGTCTATCCCATCTGGTGCTATTGCATGTCAATATCATCGATAATTCTATTACATGAACAACAAAAATAGTTTTATTTGTATGTTTTGTCAAAATGCTGTATTTGCTTGTTTTTATAGTCCCTCACTCTTTCCCAACCAACAAACGCTTTTTATCTTCTCATTTTTATTATTGGCTGTTGTGTGGTTCAGGCCATCGTTCAAGGGTTGAGAGAGTCTGGTGTTTTTAACTCTGTTATTACGTCTGCCCCAACAACTCTATCAAAGGACAAATTCTTAGCATCGGTTGAGAGTAGTAACTCATCTAGAGCAGTTGCCTCTGAATCACATCCGTCAAGAAAGATTGGTAGAATTAGCGAGTCTCAGGCAACTGCTAGGAAAGTTTTGGAAATTGCCACTGTTGCATCTCATGAAGCAGCAGTGCCACCATCGTCTCCCCCAGGCATGGATCATGACCTCCTTATTGAAGTATGATAGCTCTCTATTCATGATTGCTGCTGTTCTCTTTATTCATTCGGGGTTTGGAAGAGAACGTGTAATTTTCTTATTTGCTTCAAGAAGAATCCAAGGAGAGTCGAAAGCAACGTGATATGTGGCTGAGGCTCATTTTTTTCAATTCATGGGTTCTTCCCGATCATTACCCAAGCGCAGGTGTACATGAAACGTGGAGCGGGGTTTTCCAATTTAGCTTTTTTTTTTTAGGCGACATGGTGTTGGAATGGGTTACATTGGCTTCTGATTGTAATGTATAGAAAGCAGATGGTGGTGACATTGGTGCTATACTTTTTTTTCATTATATATGATAAACACTGTGTTGTAGAGTACTAACAGAGTCCAGAAAGTTGTCAGCTTCATCAACTTATTAAAGTCATTCCTTATTGAGTTTGGAATCTCAATTGAGGGGTGAGAAAATTGTGGGCAGGCAATTGATTGATTTATGAAGAATCAGTTTCCTTTGATCGATTGATTGTAAAGGGTTGGCAACTATTTTTGTTTCGTGTTTTTGCTTTAGAGTGACTATTTCGAAACTTGTTTGGTAACGTAAATTTGTTGCAAGATTTTTGACAAAAAGTGTTACAAGTTTGAAAAAGTTGAATGGCTAGTTAAAAATGTCATTTTAAAAGGAAAAAAAAAAAGATTTTTTTCTTTTTGTTTTTTGAACAGTGTTTTGTAATAGTGCGGAAGCAAACAAAAGCATCATTTTTATGCTTAACGCTTTCGATTTTGATCTCAATTTTGAAAGCGCTTCAGTACTACTCAAGCGTTTCCTCCTACCAATTGGTGAAACCTTGTTGCGTCCCTCTGCTCTTTTTTCTTTTTCTCATTTTTCTTTCTAATCAAACAAAGCATAAACATGTGCCCTTCTAGAGCATGGCCTCTGCATGTCTTTTACTCCCTCCTAAGCAAACAGTGAGTAAGCAAATGAAACACAATGGAGAACGATAGAAGAAAAAGAAGAGGCATTCCAAGGAAGTATGATGGTTATGTGCACTGAGCAAACATCACTCATCTAGTGATCCAATTTATTTTATTATTATTATTAATTTTTTTTTTTTTGGTGGTGACAAATAACACAGCATTTTGTCTCTACAAGAAATTGAACACTCCCTTTCATTCTTGAGAGAAGTTGAGGAGATATTTGTATGGTAAGTGTCCAATCCCAAGTCAGTGATAGTGGCATACCACCACAAGGCATCACTTGGTGCGGAACAGGGCCATGACATTAGGCGCCACCACTCACCTTGGGCAGACCCACCGGGGGAAAAAGAAAGGTAAATCATCATCCGGTGATTTTAAGAAATGGTTGAATGTGTATATATATATATATATATATATATATATATTTTGGGGTCATTAGCAAAAAAATACGCACCCCGTGTATACCATCTACTTTGTTATTTAAGAACTCGAATCCGCACTGTCTATTTTGAAAGATAGAAAAGATATCACTACACCACACGATCTTGATAATTGATAATAATTAGATACTATTTAACTTTGTCATTTTAAGACCTTCCTAATCAACTCAGATGGGCAAAATATTAGACTTGACTCTCTAACTCATGAGGCTTTTTAGTTGATTTGGCTGTGAGTGTCATCAATTATCCCAACGAACCACTTGCATTTAATAATACCTAAAACAAGTTGGGCATTAGAATGGGCACACGACTGCCATAATTTCCTAGTAGGAATTTTGTGAGAAAACTGATCTGGTTATTAAAAGAAATCATTTCATAATCATATGTTATGCATGGCTGATTATGGACTTCTTGAGAAGATAATTCTCTCTCTCTCTCTCTAACCGAAGATGAGTTTACATATATACGTACATACATATATATACGCACATACATATATATATATATATACATATATGTTTGACAACACTTGGGCCCATAACAGCTGTATTTTCTTCCTTACAACCAAAGGTTGCTCTGTATTCTTCTTTACATTCCCTCATCTATTGCACATTGGTACTTCCCCACTTTCTTCAATAATGGATCTCCCCACTCTCTCTCTGATGTGTTTTTTTGGTAAAACAGTATCATATGTTCATCTCTCCTAATCCTTGGATGAGTTGACCACAGGGGCAAAAGAGTAGTTTTAGGAAAAGGTAAAATGTAATCTCTAGTTATTGCTTAGTTGGTATAGCTTCTCTTCTTTTAAAGGAGAGACGAGAAATTCGAACCTCACAGCGGATAATAAAATGTATGATTTAGATTGCACATTTTCAATCCATTTCAATCAATGAGCTTTTTGATGTTCAAGTTTAAGCTCTATAACCGAACTCAAGTTTGAGCTCAAACACATCAAGCGATTCAAGCCCGTATGTAGTATTCGACCTTAACTTGAATATTGCGCACATGGTTCGTTTAATCAATTTGAAGTTTAAACTCAAAATTTAAATCAAGATTGATGGAGATAAAACTAATTATATATCTGTAGAAGCCTTAACAAAAGAGTTACGAATTTGTTATGAACATATTCGCAAGCTTAACGAAGTGATTGATGAAATGTTCAAATCTAATTCATTTATTGAACGCTTAGACAATGAATTTGAACTTGACTCGTTTATTCAGTAAATAAATTCAAAATAAAATATAGTGGAATTGACATTCATAAATCAGTTTGGTTCATTTACATCTAGGATTACCGAAAATTATAAAACATGATAGTTATGAGATCTAGACAATTAATGGTGGAAATGGCAACAATACCCTTTAGATCTATCATAAGTATGGGACCTATCTAATTGGCATGAACCTCGGCAGTCCCATCCCTAAAAGTGGGCTGCCACTTGATGCTGTTTGGCACCAAAATAAAGCTGAACCAAGCGTTATTTCAGTAATTTAATTTGCAACAACTGTTTAAAATGAGGAATTGAGAGAAGCAGAGGCCCCATGGAGCACAAAAGATTCTCATAATTCAAAAGAAGGTTCCCTCCATGAATACATATGACTGCCTTTTTCTATACAATTCTGCTTTAACACCCACGTGTTGAACAGATGAAACTTATCATGAAAAAAGGATCAGAATTATGAATTATTGAACGCAAGCAAAAGAAAGACCATCATCAACTTGAGCGTCCTTGGAGCTCTCAAAAAATCTGCCTCTTTCTGCTCTTTGATATCATAAACAATGCTTCATCTGAATTTTAAAGCTACTCTTTCTGAATTTCATGAAAGGTAGTATCCAAGTTCCAATAAGATTTTTGATAATTCACAGTTTTTGCAATTTTGGAAATTGGGTAACAAAGTTTTGTAGCTTAAATTCATAGTATGTACCAAAATCAACAATATATGTATGTGTGTATATATATATATATATTATAAGCAAGCTTTCCATTAAAGAAACAAACTAGTACCAAAATCAACATTATAGTTCATATAGGCAAAATGGGTATTTTTTTTTTGGAATTGTTCATCGTATTTATAAATGTTGAAGCTTTTGGAAATCACTTGACTTTTGCTTGGTTTGATGTGAAGTGATGGTTCTTAATGGCAAAGAAGAAGAGCTGGTTCAATCTACTAAAGAGGTTGTTCATTTCAGACACACATTCAAAGCCAGAAAAGGTGTATATTTTTGCTTCTTTGATGAGTTTCAACTCTCACTATTTGTTTGCTTTACTCAATGCTACAACTACTACTTTCCAGAAGGAGAAGAGAAGGAGATGGGCATTTGGAAGGCTTAAAATCAAGAGATTAGCCTCAATTGCAGCGCCGTCGCCATCAAGAGAAGGCGCGCTATGTGAAGCAGACGAGCAGAGGAAGCATGCTGTGAATTTGGCTATTGCAACAGCTGCTGCGGCTGAAGCTGCCGTGGCTGCTGCAGAGGTTGCTCGGTTAAATGGCATCGATCAATTTAGCTATCAATACGAGGCAGAAACACGAGAATTTTCACCCCATCACATTCTAACCATTGCTCCTCAATTGGCTCATCAATGTGAGAAGGAGATTCAAAATCGCGCTGCCACCAAAATTCAGACTGCTTTTCGCAGCTATCTTGTGAGTTTCCTCCATATGCTCCTCTATTGAAGATAAAAACATCTCATCTTTCTTTGTAGTTATTGAAATCATGTCAATTGTAGCACTTTTTGCAATATGGAAATGGAAATATAATAATAAAAATACTTAAACATGATCTGAAACCTTCAAGAGTTGATTTGAGTAGGGAATGAAAAACTATGTCTAGACTAAGAAGGAATTGTAGTTAGGAATAAGTTTTTTTGTAATGGTGATCTTAGACTCTTACTGCTCATGTTTTTCCAAATTTCACAAGAAGAACAGAAAAAGCAATTCTATGTATTGAACTGGTCCAGAGAATACTATCTAACAGAACAAATGTTCTCAAAATGGATTTAACATTGATGTGGAAGCATTGCAGGCAAGGAAAGCTTTGAGAGCATTGAAGGGACTTGTTAGGCTTCAAGCCATTGTTAGAGGCCGAGCCGTTAGACGCCAAGCTATCACTACTCTAAGGTGCTTGCAGTCCATTGTAAATATCCAGTCACAGGTCTGTGCAAGGAGAGGTCAAAAGGGGGAGGGAACTTGGCATTGTGATGACAAACAAGAGTTGGGAGATTTGAGAGACAAGGAGATAAAGGTATGTAAAAAAAAAAAAGTTGGTCTTTCTTGATCCACAGAACTCAATTGAACTAAGCAATGCCTTAAATCAACTTATTGAGCTTTAAATCAGTGATCTTGTTTCACCTTTCTGCTCTACCAAGAACTATGTGCTCAACACTTCAACTGTAGACGGATTTGTCTTCTTCCTCCACGCGCATCTGTGCTCCTCTGGTCATTCCTTAGACTATGCACTAACAATTTCAAGCATATCACTCATTACAAACACAATGATTGATCTTCCTTGTTCATTGCCAAACCATTTCAACTAATTCTTCATTCTTCTGATTAATGCTGTTTCTCTCTAAGGAAAGCATTCATATGAGTCAGACTTATTTGTTTAGTCAATGGTCTTGATCAATATGAGTAGCAAAAACTTCAAATTTGCAGATTGATTCAAACAGTCAGAGAAGGTGGGATGATAGCATTCTATCAAAGGAGGAGGCAACTGCGCTGTTCTTAAGCAAGAGAGGGGCCCTAATCAAGAGAGAACGAATGAAGGAATACTTGAGCCATCGCGTAAATTCCTTACATAAAAATTCTTTAAATTTCTTTCATAAGACTTTGTTTTTTCTAGCTGGTTGTTTACTTGTGAAGGCAAATGTTTTCAGAAGTCAGCAGAATCAGAAGAGAACAAGGTAAATGGAAGATGGAGAGACTTGTTAGAACAATGGGTGGACACCCAATTGGCTAAAAGGGAAGACCTTAAAATCCCAGACACAGTTTTCTCTCCAAAGGCAAGAGTCAGAGAGGAATTTGGAGGAAAACAACTCAAACTGAGAAATTCCCCAAAACAATATCACATAGAGGGACTGGACTCACCAATGCATGTCCCCAGAAGATCATTTAATCATCGAAAGCAACGATCCATTGGAGATGGCAATTCCTTCGCAGGCTCCCCCATTGTTCCAACTTACATGGCTGCTACTGAATCTGCCAAGGCAAAAGCAAGATCAATGAGCTCGCCGAGGTTAAGGCCAGTGAGTTTAGACACTTGCTCTGAAACAAATTCACCATACAAGTATAAGCTCTCTCCTATATCTTCTCTCAACAGCGACGTGTTGGGAAGCAGTAGGATTGGCAATCCCAGTGTTTTCCAACAGAGATCTCCGTGCATAAAAAGTCTTCCAAGTCACTTGAAATCAAGCAGAACCTTGAAGGATCTCAGCTTTGATTCAGGGTGCTCATTGCCAACTTGGGATCACATGGTGCCTTCAGCCGATTCACTGGCTGGAGCAAGAATTTACAACAGTTGAGTTGGTTTTGAGTACAGAAAGTAGTGATGTTGTGTTGATGTTTCATCTGCTAGCCAACAGATCATATTTGATTGCTAAATGGTCCATTGTAGAAAAAATTCATCAACAGTCTCTGCCAAAGACTAACTCATCTCAACTTAGGAGGCTTTGAATATATCAGTAATTTATAATTTTGGTGACCTAAACAGTTGTAAAATCCTATGTTTCGATTTATTTTTTTCATCTTTCGACCAAGTAAGGAAGTGGATAAGATTCCTTCTAATGCAAGAAGAAGAAGAATTTTCGGATGCAAATCTTGACATTTCAACATAGGCAATGCAGCAATGCAACTTTCCCAGTTTCCCCCCATCATTCTTCTTGCTTGTTGCAATTCATGAAGTGACAACACCCAAGAGCTCTTTGTCGCCTAAAATGCAGTCATCTATCATGTACAAAATTGGCATTTCTCTACCGTTACTGATCTTTTCATTTTTCATACGGTTCATTCTTCTGATTACAAGTATGCTTCATCTAATCCTGTCCAGGCATAAAATGTTTTGCTACAATTTCTAAAAACTCACTAAGTACAGCAGAATGTTCAAAATTGTAGGAAGGTATATCAAGAATTAATATGTGGACTAGCTAGCCTCTCAAATTCCACACAACACATCTCTTTCAAATGGCTATGCACCTCTGTTGAAAATTTGGGATGGTTTAGGTCCCCAGGTAGAAAAAATGTTTTCTTAGCAAATATTTGTAAGAAGCTTCATTTCCACCTTAACAAAGTCAATAAGAAAAAAAAAATTCAACCTCTTAATCACAATGGACATTCACTATTGGATGCATAAAGAATATATCATGAACCAAAGAAGGTTGTCCATTTTTCTGGTTCTTTTTTTTTTTTTTTTTTTTGAGTCCTTCATTAATATTACCAAGCCACACTTCTAGTTTTAGGCATGTCAATGGCCATGGGGATTATTGTCCAAATCTTAGATAATATGCACTAAAAGCTCAATTGCAGCAAATTGTTTCAAGAACAAACCATTTGGAATAGTTTTCCAAGTTCCAAATCTAGATGATGTATGGGTATTGTACAAAATACACCTTTATGGAATGGAAGGAAATACTGCAACAAAGCTCAATTGAAGACACAAAGGAAAAAGAACTGACACCCATACACACACACACACATAAATAAACACAGTTAATACACCTGAACCATCTACCAGGTCCTCCTGTATTTGGTGAAAGAAATACATCAATCCCAAAAAAAATCCCCAAACCATTGGATTGTTCCCAAGTTAATCACCATGGAAGTTTAACTGAAGAAGATTGTAATTCCAGACGAAACCTATGTTTCTTCAGCAAGCTCAAGCCAATGCGTTATTGAAAATTTAGTGTATGCCTTGTGAAAACTAAGTTGCCCGTTTGACATGCCATTTGATCAGTTGATGTTTTGCTATGAATTAAAGACTCTGTAAGAAAAGTATCTCCTCTATATTAAACAATTTTGTTTTGTTTTTTTTTTTTTGAAATACTGTTTTGCCTTATCCAAGAGATTGTGGAGAAGTATCCTGACTAAATACAAGCCAAAATTCCAGAAGATTGACAAACCAAAGCTTAAGAATATGTGAAATGTTTTGCAGCAGCACAAAAATAAGTGAAAACAAAGTCAGATCATGATCTACATATCAGTAACTGTGAATTTAACAATTAAATGAATGGATATATTAGTTCGAGTAATTTCTAGGGGGGAAAAAAAAATAGTCCAAGCCCTCCTAAGCCAGTAAATGCAGATATTAGTTCAATCTCTATCACAATTAAACTCACAAGACCCCTCAATACTCAAATATAGAACAATCATAATCTAAAAGGAGTCAGGATTGTAAACGTACCTATTGTAAGGAGTTGTTGCTCCTAAAGTGGCATGCATGGAGAACTTAAATCTCTGTGGTGTTACCTACGGGAAAAAAAATGTAATGTCTGTGTCTAATATAAAGATATATGTGCATATGTGTATATATTTGTATGTGTGAGGGTAATTTAATTTTTTTAAAAAAAGAAAAAGAAAAAAAAAAAAAAAAGTCAAAGGGTGGTGGTGGGACCCACCACCCACTCACTTTTAATGGTCTAGAGACCATTTTTTGGATCTCACTTTCTCTCTCCCCGTCAATTTCCTTCTTACTCTCATTTCACATCATTTTTCTTCTCTTCTTGGAAGCCAACTTTGAATCAGGATTCTAGCTTCATTTCTTGCCTGATTTAAGTGCCGTTTGAGGCAAAATGACGAGCACGATGAGCTCTACGTGCTAGTACCAGAAATTCCAGCTTTTGGTCCTCTTTGGGAGCTCTAATTTAAGAACCCATTTTTAGGAATTTTGCTCATTTTGAGGTAGGGGCATCTTCATCCAATCCTTTCTTGTTCTATTGTGAATTACACCTCCTTGTTGTGTCAAACATGTTTAATTGGGAGTTAATTGTATCTATGATTATATGAATGATGTCTAGAGAATTTTCAAGAGCTTAATTATGACTTGTTTCATGTGTAAAGTATGTTTAGATGTTGTTTTATCATGCTTATTATATGTTAACATGCTGAAAATGACTAATGAGAACATGTTTATTTAGATTGTGTCAAATTTCCCATTGTCATAATATTGAGATTATATGTACATCCATGCACATGTCATTGGGATGCATGAAATGGGAGAATTTGTCTTGAAATGAAAATGGGGAAAATTTTGGGAGAAGAGTTTTGTCAAATAGTTTTGATAAACTCGATCGTTGGGGGGTTACCAACGTGCCGGAGGTTAATATAGCCTAGAGGGGACTAGGGAGTCGCCCTAGCGTGGTTGAGCTATTCGGACTCCTCGATGACGCTGCGGTGTTACCAAAGGTCTAGGGACGATAACCAATCCTCCTCTCGTGTCGCGGCGGGGTTACCAAAGGGCGGGCTGTATTAACATTTGAAAGTGATGGTTTTGTGAATGAAAATGGGGAGTGGCATTAGCATGCATTGCATTTCATTGCACTGCATGGTTTATAATTGGAATTGATGTGCATATTGTTTTAATTTCTTATATTGCATGATCCTTATTTCCCATTGGCCTATGCTTTGTTTGGATTCACAAGGACACAAGAATTGTGTCTTAAGTGTCACCTACTGAGCTTTATGCTCACCCTACTATTTATATTATTTTTTTTCAGGTCTTGGAAATGAACCGGTGGACGACAATCCACCTCAAGCTTGAAAGTTGTTAGAAGGTTGTTTGCTATTTTGTATTTTTACAGTTTTATGTATATTCATAGTTGTGGGAATGTAACTAAGTTAGTATGCATGTCTTTGTAACTTAAGAACGAACTTGTCTTTTGTTTGATGTAAATGAAAATAATGGAATTATGGTATATGTTTCTATGCAATTGTATCATGTAACGTTGTAAGACAGGGACTTTAAATCTTAACCATGTATTTTGGGACTGTAATTATGATAATTTAGATTAATTGGTGTGTGGATGTTCCACTATGAGAGGAACTATGTTGAGGTATAATGAACGGATGAATGGGAAGCTGGATGATATTATGTGTTTTGTGTATTGGGACAGGTTGTTAAAGGCCCATTTTTAGGGGAGGTTATGCCGATTTTTTTTTTAAATTTTGGAATCAGCTAGGGTCGTTACAAATTTGGTATCAGAGCCCATAGTTCGAAAACCATTAGGACAACGGGTAGAGGCCTACATAGGATTGCGTGGAATGTTGATTTCATTGTGTATATGACTATTTGTTACTTGTTTATTACTTGAACAAGCATGCTTAACTGCTTATGTGCTTACGTGCTTAAATGTCTATGGTAAAATATTTCTTGCATGGTTTTGCATGCTAAGTGTCATTACGACATCATTTCACGTTGAGTCGTCTATAGTGGACTTTAGTGTAATGTCATTGAACCGTTTTCTCGTTTTGTAGCACGATGTCACGGCGTGAGGAACAAAGGGAAGTTGGGTCCAGGCCGACTAGGGGTGGTGTTGGTGAGAGCTCCAGCTCCAATCTGGAGGAGCTAAATGATGAGGACACACTTCTTAGGGACTTGATTCCCCCGAGAGTTGTCCCCACAAGGAGGGATAATGTTGAAGCACCCGTCGAAGTGGGTGAAGGTTCTGTAGCACTGGAGTTAAATCATTTGTTGCAAAATGTCGTGAGGGCAACGATTGCTGCTCAGTCGCAGTCGACACCACAACCTACAGTTCAAGTTGAGGAGATGCCAGCTCAGAAGCGTCTCAAGATTATTAAGGGGTTTTCTCAGCTGATGCCGGTTATGTTTGAGGGCGGTGCGGATCCAATGATAGCAGATGACTACATGGAGCAAGTTGAAACTCAATTGACTTCTATGGATGTGACGGAGGATCATTTGAAGATCATCCTAGCTACTTATAAGTTTGCTAAAGATGCCAAATTATGGTGGAAGTCGGTTACGAGCCGGTACAAGGTGGAGGAGATGAGTTGGGACAAGTTCAAGGAATTGTTTTATGAAAAGTACTTTCCGCTTTCCAAAAGATGGGAGTTACAAGACCAGTTTCATAAACTTATTCAAGGGAGCATGTCAGTGGCAGAACATGAGAACAAGTTTACTTCACTTTCTCGCTTTGCTCCAGAAATGGTGAGAGATGAAGTTAACAAGACTCGGAAGTTTGTTTCTGGTCTTAATGATCGGATGAGGCCGTTGATCACGGCACAGTTCATCAAGGTATATTCTGAAGCAGTGGAAAGGGCTTTAATGTTAGAAGCGGATAACAGAGATAAGGATGCGAGAAGAAAACAGTGGAAGGAGAAGAGGGGTGCAGGGCCATCCTCAGAAGAATCTTCTTGGAAGATGAATAAGGGTGGTTCATTTCAGTTTCAGGGGCAACAATCTACACGATCTGTTCCTACCACTCTTGTGCCAGTTGAATTTGATAAGGGTGGAGTTGTTTGTTATCAATGTCAACAGCCTGAGCATTACAAATCCAGTTGTTCTATGAGATCATCTTCAGTTTCTTCAGTTCCGAAGGTTTGTTATGGGTGTGGCCAGTAGGGCCATTTGATTCGGGACTGTCCGAGTCAGGGAGCAGGCACCACTAGTGGCAAAGGGTCACGGCAGAGGCCGTCACAGTCGGCTACGGTTCAATCAGGTTTCAGACCACCGCCACCACCACAGCCTGCTTTGTCTTCTCAGGGTTCATGACCAGCTAGGAAGGATACTCCTACTGTGTCGGCACAACAGTCTGGTGTTCAGATTAGTAGTTCACAGGTACAGGCACCGCAGGGGCGTGTCTTTGCCCTTGCATCCACTGATGCATCTCTTGGATCTTCAGTTCTCCGAGGTATATTTCTAGTGTTTGGTTCTTGGGCCTGTGTTTTGTTTGATTCTGGTGCATCCCATTCTTTCATTTCATCATCATTTGTACTTGCATCGGAGTTAGAGGTCAGTTTTATGGATCGAGCGTTGTGTGTTGATACGCCA